TAGGAGAGCACTGCTGGACTGCTGGAGGGCCACAGCATCTGGTGTTAGCAATGACTCATTCCCTACCAGTAAAGCGGGGGTGAAAAGTGGGGGGGGGCAGAAGCAAAGGGGTGGAAAGTGGAGGGGGGGTCAGAACTGGAGGAGGTCAGGGGTGGAGGGGGTCAGGAGTGGAGGGGGTCAGGGGTGGAGGGGGTCAGGAGTGGAGGGGGTCAGGGGTGGAGGGGGTCAGGGTAGAGGGGGTCAGGGGTGGAGGAGGGGTCAGGGGCAGAGGGGGTCAGAACTGGAGGAGGGGTCAGGGGTGGAGGGGACCAGGGGTGGAGGGGGTCAGGAGTAGAGGGGACCAGGGGTGGAGGGGTCAAGGGTGGAGGGGGTCAGGGGTGGAAGGGGACCAGGGGTGGAGGGGGTGAGGAGTGGAGGAGGGGTCAGGGGTGGAGGGGGTCAGGGGTGGAAGGGGTCAGGGGTGGAGGGGGTCAGGGGTGGAAGGGGTCAGGAGTGGAGGAGGGGTCAGGGGTAGAGGGAGTCAGGGGTGGAGGGGGTCAGGGGTGGAGGGGGTCAGGGGTGGAGGGGGTCAGGGGTGGAGGGGGTCAGGGGTGGAGGGGTCAGGGGGAAGGGGTCAGGGGTGGAGGGGTCAGGGGTGGAGGGGGTCAGGGGTGGAGGGGTCAGGGGTGGAGGGGGTCAGGGGTGGAGGGGGTCAGGGGGAAGGGGTCAGGGGTGGAGGGGTCAGGGTTGGAGGGGGATCAGGAGTGGAGGGGGATCAGGAGTGGAGGGGGCCGGGGTGGAGGGGGTCAGGGGTGGAGGGGGTCAGGGGTGGAGGGGGTCGAGGTGGAGGGGTCAGGGGTGGAGGGGTCAGGGGTGGAGGGGTCAGGGGTGGAGGGGGTCGGGGGTGGAGGGGTCAGGGTGGAGGGGGTCAGGGGTGGAGGGGGTCAGGGGTGGAGGGGTCAGGGGTGGAGGGGTCAGGGTGGAGGGGGTCAGAAGGAGCCCTCTTGTGCTTGCATGTTCTCCAGAAGGAATCAGTAGTGTCTGCTATTTTCACAGAGCACTACGGAGAATGTGGGAGACTTTGAAGCCTTTTGAATACCGGTCTATGTGACTACAGGGCCAATTCTAGCTGTCATTTCAAGTTTCCTACAGGAACAAGATGACTCAACCAGTAAAGACACTTCTTGCCAAGTTTGACCACCTGACTTTAATCTCCAGGTCCCACACGATGGGAGACAACTAACTCCCACAATTTGTCCTCTGGCCTTCACAGACATACAAAACAAATACATGTAACTTTTTAAAAATTGTAAGTTTCTTCCCAAAGTCTCTGGTAGCCTCCCTAGGCTGTTTCTACTCCTATAAAGCAGAAACGGGCTGAATGAGGCCTCAGCTCAAAACAACTTATGCCTACTCCTCCACATGTGTGCTGATGTGGTGTTTAGATGTGGGCCCTTTGGGAGATGATTGCACATGAAGACAGAGTCCTCGTGAATGGGGACCAGGACCTTAGGAGAGCATAAGGAGCCCTCCCACCATGAGAGCATATGTGAAGCAGAAAGGCTCTCACCAGAAACCAAATGCTGGAATCTTGACCTCGGATTTCCAGTCTCCAGAGCTATGAGGATAACTTGTGCAGTTTGTGGGCCTAGCTTATAGTATTCAGCAGGTGTGATGGGTCCGCTTGGTTGTCAACTTGACTACATCTGGAACTAAATGGAATCCAAAAATGGAGGGATTTGTTTGTTTGTTTACTCGCTTGTTTATTTGCTTGTTTTGAAGTGAGTGGATCCACTTCTAGTCCAGACTTCTGAGGTAGGAAGACATACACCTCTGATATGGTCCTTGAGGCAGGAAGACACACCCTTAGTCTAGGCCACACCTTCTGCTGGAGGCTATACAAGGGCGTGGAAGCAGGAAGCTTTGGCTCTTTGCCTGCTTGCTCTCACCTTGCTAGCATTAGAGCCTACTTCTTAGGGATTCCAGCATGTACTGGAGACCAGTTGAAATACCCAGGTGAGCAATGCCTGGATTCATGGATATTTTTGTTCACAGTCATTGTATGATCAGCAGGATCACAGCCTGTAAGTCATTCTAATAAATCCCCTTTCTATACACAGAGATTCAGTCTATAAGTTCTGCTCCTCTAGAGAACCCCAACTAACACAGAAGGGCAAGGTGCTAGGATTGAACCTGTCACTGTACACCATGCCACTGAACAGCCAACTCTTTCATGTTCTCTACAGCAGCCCAGACTCAAACCCTTCCAGCTGACCTCAGAGGTCCATCACGTGAGCTGCCCAGCTAGATCCTAAAGTCCATGAGAGGAAAAGGGAAAGGACAATTGAGTTTTTAATTTAAAAATATTTATTTAGAGGCAGATTCTTACTATGTAGGCCTGGCTGGCCTGACCCTCACTTTGCAAATCAGGCTAGTCTCAAACTCAGAGATCTACCTGCCTCTGCCTCCTGAGTACTAGGATTAAATAGGCATGCCACCATGCCTTGCCAAATACCATTCATTTTGGTTTTTGTTTTGCTTTTGGCTATATTGGGCACTGATCCCAGGGCCACATCCCTGCTAAACAAGTAAATTATGTGGCACTACATCCCCAGGCCCCCAAATTCCCCTTTTAAACTCTATCCCAGGAAGTTTTTACTAACCCAGCTAGAACCACAAGTTGTAAGATTCCAGGTATTCAGACAAAGCTGCCAGGGACTGTGCCATAAGCCTGGAAGAAACAGGAGCTGTTGACACTGGGGTGTCAGCTTTCAGGAACAGATGGGTCTAGTTCAGATCCTAGTTATTAACTCTGTGACTTTGACCTAGTTATTTAACCTCCTTGAGCTTAAGCTTCCTCATCTCTAAAATATCAATTTCCTAAGGTTAAGATAAAAAACAAGTAGCCATCAGAGAAATGCAAATTAAACAACTCTGAGATACCATCTCACTCCAGTCAGAATGGCTAAAATCAAAAACACTAATGACAGTTTATGCTGGAGAGATTGTGGTGAAAGGGGAACACTCCTTCACTGCTGGTGGGAGTGCCAGCTTGTGCAGCCACTGTGGAGATCAGTATGAGATTCCTCAGGAAAATGGAAATCAGTCTACTATAAGATCCAGCAATTCCGCTCTTAGGCATATACCCAAAAGATTTATACCCATACAATAAGGACATCTGCTCAACTATGTTCATAGCAGCATTATTTGTAATAACCAGAACCTGAAAGCAACCTAGATGCACCTCAACTGAAGAGTGGATAGAGAAAATGTACATTTACACAATGGAGTACTACTCAGCAGAAAAAAATGGAATCTTGAAATTTTCAGGCAAATGGATGGCACTAGAAGAAACCATCCTGAGTGAGGTAACCCAGTCACAAAAATACAAACATGGTACGTACTCACTCATATATGGATTTTAGACATGGAGCAGGGCACTGCCAGCCTACAGTCCCACCATCAGAGAGTCTGGGGTGCAGGGGAGGACCCTAAGAGATATATGCATAGTAACCCGGAAAAGGGTTATGGGATGAGATCTCCTAATTGGATTGGGGGGGGGAGAAGGGGATGACAGAAGGAGATGGGAGACAGGGGAGAGGAGGACATGGGAGAGCAGAAAGGTTGAGCTGGGTAAGAATAGAGGAGAGAAGGATGGGAGACACCAGAAAAGAGGGAGCCAGTATAAGTTGGAGGAGAGATCTGGCACTAGTGAGGTCTTCACAGATCTAAAGAACGACACCAACTGGCACTAAGGCTACCTTAAATGCCCTCCCATGATAATGAAAATGATGACTGCCTTATATGCCATCCTAGAACTCTCATCCAGTGGTTGATGGAAGCAGAGGCATACACCCACAGCTGGGAACCAAACTGAACTCCTGGAATCCAGCTGCAAAGAGGAGTGATGACCAAAGGAATCAAGATCAGCCTGGCAAAACCCACAGAGGCAGCTGACCTAAACAAGGGGGAACGCATGGACCCCAGACTGATGACTGAGGGGCCAGCATGGGACTGATCCAGACACACACACACACACACACACACACACACACCACCGAACCTGGGTGTCAGAGAGGAGGCCTTGGCAATCTGTGGTACCTTGGAGAGTAGAGCAATATTTATTCCTGGCATACAGATGGACTCTGGGAACCCATACCACGTGGAGGGATGCTCTCTCAGCCTGGACACATGGGGGAGGACCTAGGCCCTTCCCGGAATGATGTGACAGACTCTGAAAATCCCTCATGGAAGCCCTTGCCCTCCCTGAGGAGCAGAGTGGGATGGAGTGGGGGTGAGGGGTGGGGAGGAGGGGAGGGAGAGGGAACTGAGAGTGACATTTGTAAAAAGTTAAATAAAAAGTATTAAAAAACAAGATTGTAAGAAAACCACAATACATGAAGTGTTCGACAGCTGTCAGCATGATCCCGTCCTCATTTCCTTCTTCCTTCCTAGGAAGTGGCTAGGGCGCTGGGCTAAGTTCTTCTGTTTCCAGTTGATTTTCTATACAGCTTCATGAAGGAAAGTCATGGGAGTTGGTTCTCCTAGCTACTCCCATGCTACAACCCCAAAAATGTACATAGACTGTTCACTCAGAGGAGTGAGGAGGGGACCCACTTAACATTGCCAGCTTAGGTTTATCTACGTGGGATAAGAAACCCAGTCTTTGCGGAAATAGCCCCATGGGTCTCCAGCCTAGCAAGCGGGAAATAGGGAAAGGGTTAGGGTGAATGTGAGCAAGAACCCCTTGTGGACTAGTGGCAGGTATAGGGCTGAGAATCCTCCGGGGGACGGGGATGGCGTGCAGGGCTCCCCCAAGCACCTAAAGGTCTCTGAGCCTTGCTTCTGTCACCCATAAAAATGGAGCAGACCACACCTGCACCAAACTCCATACTGTTGGATAATTCAATCAGATACCTAGGGAGATAGTCCATGAACAGTCATTGCCCCCATCTCCCTACCCCTCAGGAGGAAGGACACAAAGGCCTCCAAAGAGACCAACAATTCACAGGACTGCCTTGTAGAAAACAGACTTGCTGAGATTTAATAGATGCAAAAAAACACAGGATTGTCACCAGAGTTGGTCGTATCACACGAGCTGTTCTCAAGGCACATAGAGTGGATCAAGTAACAAAATGGACTTTTTCTGTGTGTGGTCGGCTGATAACTAAAAAATATCTAAGAGGGTAAAAAAGCCAGCTGGTTCTTAGTGTCTTATTCCATGGCCAAGAGATGGGCGGTAAAGCATGAGAGTGGGCTTCTGTGGGTTGCAGGGGTAAAGGCAGCCCGCAGCTTCTCGAGACAAGAAAAATGAGGGTGTTTTATTTAAACAATGAGACAGATGCTGAGTACATCTCCTGCAGAGCCCGCTGGGGGACATGGGGCTGTAGAGGCTGTGCCAGAAGCAGCAACCTGCCAAGACAGTCCCTGCCAGTCCCAGGTACTAGTCAGCCCTCCCACCTAGTTCTGGGAGGAGTTGAGAGTTGGACTGGGGTGGCTCAGTAGAACAGGTGGAGACAGGGCTCACAGATACACGAGGGATGTTGTAGGAAGAGAAACATCAAGACGGAGCAGAAGCCAACTCCGTCTTTCTCAATGGCTTTCTTTTTGGCTTCCTGAGACAGGTGAGACCTGAGAGCAAGGGAGAGCTCCAGAGGGCAACCTAAGGGAGGAAAGGCTGCTCGCCCTGAGGAGAGCTCAGGGCTGGCAAGGGGAAGAGGCAGAACATCTGGGACCTCTAACAGCTCCAGCAGGACTCAGGCAGCTGAGCCTAACCCTGAGATAGTCAAAAGAAGACGTTAAAACAGAAAAGAACACACAAAGAGAGGAATGGATGCGGTCCTTACAGGGCTGAGGTATCAGAAAGACAGCTATAGGCCCAGCACTGCCAAGTTCCAGGGCATAGCCATGCTACGGGGCTGTCCTGAACAAAGGACCGCACTCTCCACCTCCACGAGAGCCCTTGACAGGGCTTGACAGCCAGGAATCCAACCTCCAGGGAGACTTCCTAGGCCTCCCAAGGCAGCTGCTTTAACTTCAGGTAGCCACATCCCTGACGTCCTCCACAGCCACTTGGATGCAGAAGTTTGTACATGTTCGCATATTTCTGCTCGGGACAGTCCATGGGCGAAGTGTGTAGTCGTTTACAGTCATGCCGCGCTTTCCACCTACCTACCCGGTGGTTCCTCCAAGTCCTGGGTGGAGCACACAGTGGAGGACATGCTTGATCAGAGGGAAATAAAGTGTGGGCAGCCCCTCAGGCACTTGGTATAGAGGAAGAGGCCACTGCCCTGGCCCCCCAGAGTTCAATAGTGAAACACATTCAGTCTGTTGTGCTCATCCAGGCCCAGCTGTAGTAAGCTCGAAGTGGTTGTTGGTTTGGGCACCGAGGAGAAGAGCTGTCTGGCCACAAAGTGAAGGAAAACTGGATAGCTGAGCATGTGCAGTGAATGCTAAGGAAGGGTCAGAGGCCCAACAGGGTGTCCCTAAGACATCAGAAGCCTGTGCTGGAGCACGGACAGTCAGCTGCTACGCAGGAAGGGACGAGGGTTTGGGGACCAGTTAAAAGGATACACCTTGGGGTCATTCCTGAAATGATCTAGCCACTTCTTGTTAGATTCTATCATGCTCTGAATGCTGACACTGTCCATCTTGGGGGCTCGAGAATGGGAGTGCTGCAGGAGGTTGAGCTGCTCACTAGGGAAGAGGAAGAGAGTTGAGAGTGTTAGCAGAGGAAGAGAACGGGCAGGAAGCAGATGGGGTGTGCGTGCGTGCGTGCGTGCGTGCGTGTCACAGCCAAGCACCTCCTCCCTCCTCTCTCTGGTCCACCAGCAGCCGTGTACAGCCTCCAGCAATTCAAAGGTCCTCCTCTGGCGAGGCAAGCATCAGTTCCCCAAAGGGAAGGGAGTGGCTGCCTTCTACCCGCTTCCTGGGAACCTGATGCAGAATCTACTCGGGACCTTTACATCTGTCCGTCATCAGCCAATCTCAGCAAGAAACTTCCTTCTGTCAGCTCAGATACTTACGCAGCACCAGCTCTCAGACTGGCTCAGAAAGCAGACATGGCTGCGGGGTTTACAGTTAGGGCTGGGGTTGGGGAGAAGAGAATATTTGGCAGGGAAAAGGTGAATAGGAAATTAATAACAGGACTAGAGAGGTGTCCCTCTTACTCCAGATGTTGCTCAGCAGGAATTGGAGAAGATGAGGCTGTAGGAATCAGACAGAAATCTCAATGGCAAAGACAGGCCAGACTCCAGGACTTGTGGGGCCACAGGAAGAACAGAGTCTCACCTTAGGCTCCTGAACAGCAGCAGTGCACAACATCTATACAGCTAGTCAGACACACCCTTCCCCACACCCACTGAACTTCAGCAGTAGGGATTTGACTGTTCACTTGCTCTGACGAAAGCCAGATGTAGGTAATTCTGGACTGGGGACCTGCCTGGGCTCCTGGGGTCACCACGAGGTCTACCCCTACCTGTCCCTGGTGCCATCTGTCCAGGGAGGTACAGTGTGGCTCTTGACTGTGAGGCTTACCTTACAGACACATAGCCCAGCTTGTTCTCCAGTGGGGGAGGGCAGCCACTGAGCAATGGGACGCCAGCTGGAACAGCAAGGAGTTCAAGGGCAGCGGTCGTCAGCTGAGCCAGCCCCAGCCCCTGCCCCAGCCCCAGCCCCAGCCCCTGCCCCTGCCCCAGCCCCAGCCCCTGCCCCAGCCCCAGCCCCTGCCCCTGCCCCAGCCCCAGCCCCAGCCCCTGCCCCAGCCCCAGCCCCAGCCCCTGCCCCTGCCCCAGCCCCAGCCCCTGCCCCTGCCCCAGCCCCAGCCCCAGCCCCTGCCCCAGCCCCTGCCCCTGCCCCAGCCCCAGCCCCAGCCCCAGCCCCTGCCCCTGCCCCAGCCCCAGCCCCTGCCCCTGCCCCTGCCCCTGCCCCTGCCCCAGCCCCAGCCCCTGCCCCAGCCCCAGCCCCTGCCCCAGCCCCTGCCCCTGCCCTGCCCCTGCCCCTGCCACTGCCCCAGCCCCAGCCCCTGCCCCAGCCCCAGCCCCAGCCCCTGCCCCAGCCCCAGCCCCTGCCCCTGCCCCAGCCCCAGCCCCTGCCCCAGCCCCAGCCCCTGCCCCTGCCACTGCCCCAGCCCCAGCCCCTGCCCCAGCCCCAGCGGGCCACTTTCATGTTCTCTACCCACACCTCCTACATTCCCAGAAAAGGACATCCCCACAACAAACAATGGCAGGGAATGTTTCCTGCTGAAGGCGAGAGACAGGTGGCAGACAAGAACGGTCCTATTTACTTTGATTCCAAAAATCTAATTTTCAATTTGGGCTGGGGCAGAAAATGTTTTTCACATTTTTCCTCAAATGGTTGCCTTTATGACTTGTGTTCCTCAACAAGGAATGGACTAGAGGAGGAGTCTGGAGCCCAGAGAAGAAGCCAGTGCCAAGGGGTCACAGATAGAGTCCACACCTGGTCTGTGACTCACTCACTCACAGAGCCCTCTGGAGCGTGGTACTAAACCTCACTGAGCCTCAACTTACTGGTCTATAAAATGGGAAAATTAATTACTACCTCAGAGAACTGCAATACAGACTAAAGAGTGTGTGCATGTACGCATGTGTGTGTGTTTGTGTGCATGCGTGTGTGTGTGTGTGTGTGTGTGTGTGTGTGTGTGTGTGTGTGTGTGTGTGTGTGTGTAAGTGTCATGGTGTACTATATTTACGACAGACTTCAGGATGACAACAATGACTTTTTTTAGATTCTGCCTAAATTCTAGCATTGATAATAAAAGCTCTGCACAGTACAGGCTTGGTGTAAAACATCCCAGCACAGAGTCTCAGGCTGTAAGGCCACAGCAGGGTCTTCCTTCACCAGGGCCCACTGACAGAGCCAATGGACCAAAGATGGAGAGGGAAGTAAGGGGTAGGCAAAGGAAAAGGAAAGGGTGGTTATGAGAGAGGGCAAAAGAGAGAGATGGAAGGCTCCGCCCAGAAACCAGGTGCCCACCAGGGACCTACAGGGAAAGTACTTGCGCCACTTCTCCAGCAGGAAATCATCCACAGTTTGCGAGCAAGAGGAGAGCTTGGTGCCCTGTCCCGGGTCCCAGGCCCACTGAGAGGACGTGGGTGTGGCAGACGGTGAGGTTGAGGGCTTGGTCAGGAGGGAGTAGGCAGGGGCAGGGACGTTCTTGGAGGACCGGAGTGAGGAGGTGAGGAGTGGTGGCGGGGGCTGGCTGCTGAGGGCCTGTGGTGGGATCTGGGAGTTGAGGCTGCCCAGCACGTTCAGCACACCGTTCAGCTCACTGCTGATCCGATGAAGGGAACTGCTCAGGTAATGGATCTTGTTCGGATCAGCAGAACTTGGGGTTGGGGTGACTGAAAGAGGCAGATGGTGGGAAAGGATTCAGGATCTGGCTGGCACCTGAGTATCCTACTACTGCAGATAACAGGCTAAGGACCGTATGGGAGGACAAATGATGGGTGGGGGGCTTCTGTGTCCCAGACAAGAGACCCAAGGACATAGACAAAAGGAAAAACAAGGTCCCTGACCCAACCACAGGCCAGAGCAGCCGAGAGCGGGTGGCAGCAGGAGGCCTGGAGAGAGGAGACAGCAGGGACCCTTGGATCTTTCATCCCGCCACGAGGCAGACCCGCCACTGAGGATGGACCTCATGTAGACACAGGCCCAGTGCAGGGCGTGGGGGAGGGGCCTGGAATGCCGCCCCCCCCGCCCGCTTTCCTCAGTCTCCACAGCACTAGGCTTCATTCCCTCCCCCTCCCTGGCTCCCTTGTGCACCACACTCACTGTGAGGCAGCGGGCAGGACTCAGAACTCTCGCTGCTCAAGTCTTCCATGTCACTGAGATCAAAGGTCACCTTCTTGGTGGAGGATCCTTTCAGAGTGTCCTCATCAGAGACCTGGCAGGTACAAGTGGCCATTGGCACTGTCCCTTCCCTGTGGCTTCACTCCGCCTGCCTTGTGCTGAGGCCTGAGGTCTGATGAGGTGGCTCTTCTGGGGTCTGAGGTTCTATAGGCACCCAGGAGAGGCACACCACAAGTCTGCCTCAGTAGAGGGGCTAAGCTAAGAGAACCCAACTGTCTGTGAAGCAGTCCATAGGGTCCCCCAGGACAAAAGGAACACCATCATCCACCCCCAAAACTAGCCTTGTGGTCTCCCCATTTGAGCACCCCTGCTCCCAAGCCGAAACCTGGGTCATGGGGAAGATCTCGCACAGTCTCAGGGAAGGAAGAGACACTTCTGATGCCACACTTGGTCACACCTCTCCTGGAACCACTCAGGAAGAACAGGGCTAGTCCCCAGTTCTGTGATATTCACCAGGAATGCTGTGACCAAGCAGCAGAAGCCCCAAGGATGCCCGTGATCACAGACATCAACCACTCAGATGCTTCCACAGGGCCATCGCCTCTGCTATCTCAGCCAAGGGCCTGAGCTCTAGAGATCCCGTTCTCCAGGCCTTAGGAAATCAAGGCTCCCAGGAATAGAAGAGGAAGGGAGAGAGGGAACACAGTGGGCTATGTGACCACAGGGTGACACCTCTTCCTGTAGAGAAGATTCCAGTTGGTTCAGCTTCTCTTCTTTCTTCTTCAGGCCTTTCCGCATGGCTGACTTCATCTCATCCCGGTGTCTGGTCTCCTGTGGCAGGGGAGGAAGGGGGCGGAAATGCTAGGGTCCAACTCTGGTATTTGCTGGCTGGGTGGTCGTAAACACATCCCTAGCCCTCAGTCCAGCTGCTCATCTGAAAGAAAGGCTACTTTCCCTCAGACTCTGAGAACTAACAGGACAGTGTGTTACATGAGGAACACCGTATCTGTAGATGCTAAGCTCTCAAGCTATGAACCAAGTAGTTACCATTACTCTGTTAGCCATTACTACCATCTTGCCACCAACGAAAGGAATAAGCCACAGCAGTAAAGTGCCCAGGGATAGCATGGACACACCCTGGGCGCCCATCTTTGTGTCTACAAGCCTTTTGCTATCCGCTGCCCACAGCTGGGCACTCAGGCCTCAGGGCACGTGTGCCTCACCAGTTCTGGCACCATCAGAATTATAAGGGTTCAGACATGATCCAGCGGAACCCATGCTACTGTGGCCTTGACTGGAACAAAAATCTGCAACATCATGCAATGATGGCATCTCTGTCTTTTCATTGCAAATTAGACAGTCGGAGAAGCCAGCCAGGGGCGCTACTCGACCTTACACTGAGTGTATCCAAAGATCTTCTGTCTCCAGTGTACCAGAGCAGCAGAGAAGAGCACAGGACTTGGAATATTTTAGACATTGGCCCTACCTTTCACCTAGGACATGGCAATGGCAATACGGGTTGAATATTCCATTTCCAAACTGCTTGGCCTCAGAAATACCTGAGATTTGGGAATATCTGCATAGACTTTACTGCCTGCATTGACTTGGGAGTTAGGGACCCTCAACCTATGTAACTCACTCATTAAAGATGAGTACTACAAAGATAAAACAATTTATAATTAGAGAAGGTGTTTACACATGATGTATGACCACGATGGGCAGGTGACCCCAGGGCCCATAAGGCCCATCTCAGAGTTCCCAGAATACTCAGCTGAGGAAAGCTAGCCCCCTCAGACCTCCCAACACAGGCTGGCAGGCCCTCCTCTAGGCTCCTAACCTGATCCAAGCTCTTGTGCACGTTTTCAAGGATCTTGGTGCCTGGGAGGTCTTCATCCACCTCCTGGGCACTAGCCAGCTCATGGAGCCAATGCTGCTGGGCAGCTTTCAATGCCGTCTGTCGCCTCCGCATGGAACGTGTCTGGCGCACCAGGAACTCCTTCGCACTCCGGACAGCTACACCCTCAGCAGAGAGGAAGTGCTGGACACTGTGGGGCAGCAGGGAGCAAGGAAGGAAAACTGAAAACGACACTGAGCCACAGGGTCACTTCTCCAGCACATGTCCGCCTGAACATACAGAAGCTACTAGACTGGAGCTAGGATAGCACTGTTAAATACATAGAGAGTGTGGCACATAGAACCAATAGCTCACACACTCTGCAGAGTGTGCCTGTGCCTCCTAGCAGTCTGACCTTCAACTAGAGGCCAGCAGGCACCGACATGCTGTGCTAAAGGTCACAAACTGTAGGATATTAGCTTAGTAGAGACGGTTCTTCCATCCCTGGGTCATGCCTTGAACCAAGCCCCAACGGTGGTCATTGTCATCTCAGCTCTGACACACGATGGGCTAGGGAAACTCACCTGTCCATGCATAGGCCCATCTCCTCCTTGCTCTGGGAGAGAGAAGAGGACACCTCTTGGGTCTCACTCTGCAAACACATAATAGAAAATGCCAGCTGAGTGCAGCAAAAGCAAACACCCTACAGGCTAAAGGAATCCCGAAGCCCCTCCTGGTGTCCTAGTCAAAGGAACAGCTCTGCCAGCCCCCAGGTGCTCTTTACATACAGTTACCATCTGAGTGATGGAGAGGGTGGAGAGGAGAACAAGACGAGGAGGCTAGATCCTAAATAAAGCAGAGCCAAGTTCCTCTCCAAATGCCCCACCTTTCCACCTCCCTCCACCGCCCCTCCCATCACTCCCAGGCCTCAGCCCAAGCTCACTGTGCCAAGTGATTTCCTTAGGTCTTCAATATGGAGATCTGGCTCCAAATGTTGGGATGCGTTATTCTCAGCTGCCAGCTCTTTCAACATGTCTTGCTTCCTTTGTACTTCAGCCTCTAGGCTACTGTGGTGAGGAAGAGAGCAGGAGGCAGGGCCATGAGGCCACAGGGCTGGAGTGTGGACACCAGAACCCAGAGTACTCTCTTTCTTATAGCATCAGCACTCCATTCCCTACAAAGTGTAGCAGAGATGTGCTAGCTGCTTCTGTCTGGTTCCAAAATGGGCTCTCCCTGTGGAGTCCATGATGAGACAGGCCCGAAAGCAACAGAGGGCAGAGGGCGGGGAAAGAGGGGGCCACTGGCTGCAGCAGAGTGCTCACACTACCTCACGTGAGTCTGCAGCTGGAACACAGTGCTCACACTAACTCACGTGAGTCTGCAGCTGGAACACAGTGCCCACACTACCTCACGTGAGTCTGCAGCTGGAACACAGTGCCCACACTACCTCACGTGAGTCTGCAGCTGGAACACAGTGCCCACACTACCTCACGTGAGTCTGCAGCTGGAACACAGTGCCCACACTACCTCACGTGAGTCTGCAGCTGGAACACAGTGCCCACACTACCTCACGTGAGTCTGCAGCTGGAACACAGTGCCCACACTACCTCACGTGAGTCTGCAGCTGGAACACAGTGCTCACACTACCTCACGTGAGTCTGCAGCTGGAACACAGTGCCCACACTACCTCACGTGCTTCTGCAGTCTCTGACTTTGTGCCTGTAGCAGATCCACCTGGGACTCCAGTTCCACCCGCCGGGCGCGCAGGTCATCGATGACTCTCCGCAGTTGCCGCTTTGACTCCACCAGGTGGGTGTGCTCTCTCTTTGCTTCTTCCAGGTGCTGATGGGTGGCAGTGGCTTCCTGGGGCACAGGAAAAGATAAGAATGTCCACAGACCCATTAGGGAGAAGGTGAGGTGCAGGCGGCATCAGAAGTGTGGGATGGAAAACAACAAGGCAGGAGGCGGAAGCCAGAGCCACTGAAGCCACCGTCTCTAGGATCTGGGATCTGTAGGTTCCTGGTCTCCCAGCAGAGCCCCACTTCCCGAGGCTTGAAAGTCAGGTCTACTGGGTCACTTGATACTGGCAACCCAGGGCCCTGGACAGGACGGGTGAACAGATGGTGGGGAACAAGCGAGAGGAAGGGTGGGCAAGCAGACCTCTTTCTCCAGAGCAGCCTGCCTCTGCGCGCCCAGGAGCAGCTGCTTCTCTTTCTGCATGGTCTCCTCCTGAAGGGAGGAAAGGCCCAGGCTGACTGTGGACCCCAAGACTAAGGTGGAGCCTGCCCTCTGTGCTCAACCCCACGCAACAAGGCAGGACTGATCTGGCCACTGCCCTCCCTCACCTGGACATCCAGCTGAGCCAGTCTCGCCTTAACATCTTTGGTTCTGGTTGTAAGTTCCATCTCTAAGTCTTGTAATTTTCTCTCCTGGCAGAAGTATAGAGAGAGAACGCCATGGGTGTACAAAAGGTGAAAGGTATTAGCTGAGGGAGAGGAGAAAGACCCAAACTCCAGACTCTAAGCAGGACTCAGGCTTGCTTCCGCCTTCCCTGTCCTTGCAGCCTCCCGGCATACAGCACGCCCCATCTTGCTGATTCCCAGTGGGGCAAGGAGACACGGAACCTGACCACCCCAGAAATGTAAATGGGCTGACCTCTCATTTCCAATACTGGGCCTACTCCCAGGCTCAGAAAACAAAGGAGCAAAGATACCCTGAAGTATAGACATGGCCAGGGTGAGATCCCATTCCAAAAAGTGCCAGACTCTGCCCCACAACTCTTGGATCAGCACCCAAGACTTCCCAAGTGCCGCCCCATCCGCCAGGCCCTCACTTGATCCCGGTGCCGACGCCTTAGGTCCTCAAGCTGCTGATCCTGCTCCTGCCTCACGTTCTCTAACTCTCGCTCATGGGCCCTTCGCAGGCGCTCCAGCTCTCCAGTCAAGTGCCCCAGGAGGTCAGCCCGCTGCTTTCTTTCCTGCAAAGATCGTGGGGCCATCGGTGGGAACCTACAGTGGCGTCTAGCACCCCCAAAACCAGTCTCCCCAACTCCTGCTTGGGTCAGTTAGGTCGATGAAGGTCACGATCAGCTCCCCAGATTTTGTCATGAGGCTGCTGTTAATGCCCTGAAAAGATTGTACAAAGAGTCTGGATTCCAGTTACCAGAGCAGGAGCCCAAAGGTCCTCCATAGGGGCTGGGCTGTACTAGAGTCACACAGCTACCTTCCCGCCATTCACCCCCAACAGGAGCAAGCCAAGTTGAGTTGGGCCCACTCAAGTCGTGGAACATTGCCATCTCTAGGCCAAAGATGGATAATGAGATGGTTGCTATTACTGCCTGTCAAGTTGACAGAGCCTAGAGTCGTGTAGGAGCCAGGCTCTGGGCATGTCTGTGAGAGATCTTCTAGACTGACATAGCTGAGGGGAGAAGACCCACCCTAAATGTGAGCAGCACCATCCCATGGGCTGAGGTCTCAGACCACCTGAATCAAAACTGTGTCAGTTCTCGCCGCTCTGTTCCTGACCATGGACACAGTGTGGCCGGCTGCGTCGAGCTTCTGCCGCCACGCCTTCCCCACCATAATAAGAGTATAATTTTACACTGGGCCGAAAGAAACTCTTCCTTCCTTCCTTTCTTCTTTCCTTCCTTCCTTCCTTCCTTCCTTCCTTCCTTCCTTCCTTCCTTCCTTGACTTGCCTTTCTCAGGGAGTTTGCCACAACAACATAAAAAAAGTAACTCATACAGGCAGACAATATCCAGCCTATGCTTGCATGTGCTGGAGAGGGAGGGCCTGAGCTACCTCGGCTTCATATCGCTCTCTGGCTTCAGCCATCACTTGCCGGTGCTCCTCCTTCATCTTGTCCATCTTCCTCTCATGATCTCTCTCTACCTCCTGGCGCTTGTCTCGAAGGAGGCTGCTGAGCTGGAAGGGGACAGAAGGAACACAGCTTGCAGGACTGAGAGCAGACAGGCCTGGGGACCTCAGGTCGTACATGTGAAGTGTCCCAAATGCACACACAGCACCCAAGCATCTGAACTATTACCACTACCCCTCCCGACAAACACGCTGGCCCAGCAGTACCACAGGTCCCGGCTTGGAGGGAGTGGAGGCCATGCAGGCTAGACGGCCCAGGAGACCTTAGCGGAGCTGACAGACCAGCACTCACCTCTTGCTCATACTCAATCACCTGGTGAACCTTCTGATGGGCTCTCTGCTCTGCCCAACCAAGGCTCTCCTGCAGCTGGGCCTCCTCTTTCTGATGAGCTGCTTCTATCTTCTTCTGGAGGCTGGAGACCACCTAAGGAGATGCCAGCACACACAACAGAATGGGGCCCTCAGAAGTGGAGCCACCATGCAGTGAGTCACTACCAGGGAAGGAAACTCATCCCCTACTGGCCAAGGGTGGGGCTGAACTCCTGGGCCACCCAGCATGAAGGGGTCTGAGAGCCCAGGCTCTGTCCCCTCAGACCGGCCACACTCTTCTCACCTCCCGGTGCTTGGCCTCCAGTGAGGAACAGAGCCGCTCCAGCTCAGCACTGTGCTCCTTCTCGAGGCCTGCCACTGCCTGAGGAGAAGAAGCAGAAGGCCTGTGAGAGAAGCTGGAAGAGTGCTGGCTAGGTACTGACCATGGGAAGCCAGGGCTCTGGAGACCACCTTGTTCTTTGTTAACAAGGGATCAAGAAGAATCACAGGGATACTTTTGTTTTAAAATAGTCAGCCCCTAAAGTCTATAGCTGGCAGAGGAGTAGAACAAGGCCAGTGTAGAGGGGCCTGTCAGTAAACCTCAGGCACTGCTTCCATCCCAACTCTGAACAAGCCCACAGCAGCACACACAAACCCACAGCTGGGAATAAAAACAGCCAGGCCAGGCCAGATGGAGGTCAAGGTAGACCCTCTGGGAACCTGATCTAGATCACTGGGTGTCTAACGACCAAAGCTCTCTCAGTGGCCTGTGACTTTGGATTTAATCTGGAGGCTGATGTGACACTAGGAGAAAGCGAAGAGGAGAGAACCTGCGCAAAGGGTTGGTGTCTTACTCCAGATAAGGAGTCAGGGAGAGGAGCCACTGAGCCGCCAACAGGGCCAGCAGCCCCTAGTGTCAAGTCCTCTGCTGTGGCCGTGGCTCCTCACTGCCCTGTACATCTGCTTCAGAGACCAGGGCGAGCACCTGCCCTGAGTGGGTCCGCACGGTGGGCTCAGGGAGTCAGCTCCCCTCCCTGCACCCCTAACTGGAGCTAGCCCCTCTTGTACTTTGCGTGCTGTGTCGAGGGGGCAGTATTCATTTAGCTCACTCACCTCTCTCCTCTCCCCTTCCAGCTGCTCCCTCAGCTGCCGCAAGGCCACCTCCTTCTCAGCCTCCTTCTCGGCCCTCAAGGCAGCCTGGGCACTCCTCTCCTCGGCCCCCAGCTGCTCCCTTATCTGTTCCAGCACCCTCCGGCTTTTCTGTTCCAAACTGGCTCTTTCGGCCTTCTGGAGGGTCTCTGCTTCTTCTCGAAGCCTCTGCAGGGCAGCCTCTTGCTCGGCTCTGGGCAAACAGAACAGAATGGAGAAAGGCCCACACACCCAGGTCATCTCCTCAGGCCAGGCAGCTCCCGATGTGGACTCACCTAATTTGGTTCTCAAATGTTTCTGTACTGGACTGCACCTGGGCCCGGAAGCGGGCCAGCCGCTGGCTTTCTTCCTCTCTTATCCGAGTCTCCTCTTCCTCCTCTTCCTCCTCAGCAGCTTTCTGCAGTTCTGCCTTTAGGAGGCTGAGGGAAAAGGAAAGGTCGGCTGCTGAGAGTGACCACAGAGGTCTTCCTCATATTCAGGACCCATGCCACTAGACCTCTAAGAGCCTCGCGGCCTCCCTACAAACCACCCTTAGTATTAGAGATCAGTCAGCCTGTCATCCATGCTGGATCCTCATGGACCTAAACTCCATCTACCCTTGTCAAAGGACACAAATGCCAGGTTGCTTGGTCCAAGGATCGCTTACACCTATACAGATTATCCTCCTAGACAAAATGCTCACTCAGGAAGGTCACAACCACCCTGAGAGCCAGCCTCTAGCCCCACATTTCTCACTACTTTTTCATTAGACTCTATCCTAGGAACAACAAATGTATTACCATCTCCAGATCTCACTACCCTTTTCTTTGTCCCTTGACTATTGCTCATGCTGGTTCCTCAGTCAAGAATTCCATTTTTCTATCTGACAAATCACATTCGCCGCCCAACATGCAAGTTCATCAATTCACCTTTCCCTTTCCAATCTGCATGAGGGCCTTTCTTAGCACAAGCTGCCCTGTGTCGTGCATCACGGTACCTCATAAATAATCTGTTCTGGCAGCTTTCCTTACAAGACAGAGAAGTTCTTCAGAGCAAGAATACTGCCTCTTGCCAGGCAGTGGTCACACACGTCTTTAATCCCAGCACTCAGAAGGCAGAGGCAGGTGGATCTCTGAGTTTAAGGCCAGCCTGGTCTAGAGAGAGTTCCAGGATAGCCAGGGATACATAGAGAAACCCTGTCTCAAAAACCTGGGGTTGGGGGGAAGAATCCTGCCTCCCTTTGGAGAAGGGGACGGGTTCCTGTAGCCTAGGCTAGCTTCCAATTCCCTATGTAGACAAAAGAAGCCTTAACTCCTGATCCTCTTGCCTTCAGCTCCCAAGTGCTTGGGATTACAGGTTTACACTGGCACACCTTGCTAATGATACTGTCTTTAAGTCTTTTATATCAAGACTTAAATATAGTAACAGACATAAAAAATGGTATTTAATCAATGTGTTGGGTTTGTGCAGTATCATCTGGTCCCAAACTATTAGCAAGCCTTAAATGTCCATGAGAGGCGCCTTACCTGACCAATGATACCCATCATTTCACTAGAAGCAAATATACCTCTGCTGTTACAAATGACATCTTTTGGGGTGGGAGTAACTCCTCATATAGACCTCACAAACTAGTGAATGTGTACAGTGCACCCAGGAAGTTCAACCCTAAGAAAAAACATGACTCAGAAGACCAGAAGACAACCTCTTTGAAAAGGTCTGTAATAAATTCCAGAACCAAAACAGATATAGGATTTCCCTGCTTCAAGTTATGGATACCACTGCTTTCCTCTATAATGAGAAAAAAAATCTGGCAGGGCATTGGTGGTGCATGCCTTTAGTCCCAGCACTCGGGAGGCAGAGGCAGGAGGATCTCTGTGAGTTTGAGACCAGCCTGGTCTACAAGAGCTAGTTCCAGGACAGCCTCCAAAGCCAGAGAGAAACCATGTCTCGAGAGGGAAAAAAGAAAGAGAAAAAAAATCTGAGCAAAGTACAAATCCTTCCTTTTGGATTCCCCAAAAAAAATCCTGTCTTTTTTTACGTGGCAAAATTTACACAGCCAACATGAATGTAGGGCTGATGGGGAGGGAATTTAGAGCAATCTAAGCTCTTCATTTTATACCTAAGAAAAGGGCAAGAGTCTATCTGTCCTCTCCTTCAGCTGTGAGGAGGAGGACCCACACCCAGGAATGTCTGTGTGGAAAGAGAAACCAGAGTCTCCTAAAGAACTGCTTCTAAGAGAGCCAGACAGGCTGTGGCCCACAGAGAAATCACTTGGTCATCACTGGCTAAAAATATTCATTTCAACCCAAAACCAAAACAAGAAATGCCATTTAGGGAGCAACTAGCATGTTCTCGGCCCTGAGATAGATACTTCCAGCACCACGGTCTCCACAAAAAGCTTAGAGCCCTGAGGAGCTGCCTTGGGTGCTAGAGAAGCCGTATTCTAAGGTAAGCCGTTGGCTGCACCCTGACCTTTTTTGGCCCAAAAAGATGTGACAAAGAGTGAACCTGGTGCAGAAAGCCTGTGTTGGGCTAATGAGAAGTTGAACCTGACCTCCCACTATTCAAATGTTGGTTACCTGTTTTGTTTCCTCAAAATTAAGCACGGATTAGCTATCTATGGTCTAAAAATAGTAACTTTCAACTGCTCTTGAATGTTCTGTCTAAAAGAACAAGCTTTGGCATTAAACTGTCAACAAAGTGCATCCACATGTTTCTGAAGAGCCTTTCCTGGCTGAGGGCTGTGACGTGCTGCTTGTTACCTTCTTGGTAGCCATTCGCCCTCTTCTTCTGAGCAGGAGCTGCTTTTATCCTAGTGCAGAAAAGCTATCTGAAGAACCACCACTCCAGTCTCCCTGGTCGCCAAAGGAGCCAGGCCAGGGGTGTTTTCCTGGGTACTCAATATGATACCAGCAGAGGTTTCTGGGAAAGGTTTCTAGGAGCTACTTTGGTGAGGCTGTGGGCATCCCAGATGGGTCAGCACGGAAAAAGGATGCCCCTCCCTCCCTACACCCCTCCATGGGGCGGAAGAAGACCTGAGGGATTTCTCCTTCTGCTGGAAAAGCTGTTGCACCTCCTCCTCCTCCTCTCTCCACAGCCTCTCTTCCAGCTGCTTCTGCCTCTCTTTCTGCAACTCCAGCAGCCGTCTCTGGTCTCCCTCCAGTTCCTGGTTCACTGCCTCTTCCATGGCCTTCAGTATAGCCTCTGAGAACTGCTTTTGGGGAGCTGTAGCCTCTGTGGTTTGCCTGCATTGGGGAGAGGCAGCTTACCACTACAGTGTTAGTGCCCACCAAGGTCCCACAGCTACAGAACATCACACAAAAACTCTAATGGGGAGCCTCCAAATAGGTCGCACAGGGGCTGGCAGTAACACACAGTTACTGTCCTATGGGACAAGTCCCACAGACTGGATAAGGTTCAGAATCCTAGGAGGGGGACAGCCCATAACAGCCCTGGGAGGCTGTGGCCTGAGGGGTGGCTCAGGAACTGGCAGAGCAGAGAAGACTGAAGTTCTGACCCTCGTGGGTCCTCCCCTGGAACAGCTCGCAATCCTGTCTCCATGCCCCCACTATAGCTCTGCCTGCAACTTAAGGCTCATTTCAGAAACAGGTCCCAGAGTCTGTTCTCTGCCTCCCAAACTACGCAGAGGCCACGGCAATGTAGAAGAACCTCAGAGGAAGCCACAAGTTCCCTGCCTTGCTGCCAAAGGAGCCAAGTGCTTCTCTGACCCAAACATAGTGAGGGGCTTTCATCAGTTCATGGTTATGTTCATGTCTGGAAATGGTGAGAAACTCTGCACTAACTCAAGTGCACAGAGGACTGTTAAGAAGACAACAATGGCATCAGTTTGCTGATTGTCTGGAGAGTTATAAACAGTAGCATGATAAAGTATTTTACTTCCTTCAAAGCCAGGGTCCATAAAGCTCACATTCCAGTAGATCTCAGAACAGAAACAACACTCTTCTTACATGGTGCTGAGGCACTACAGGCTGGCCATGGCTCAGTCCAGCAGGAGCATGGGTGCAGGACCTGAATCCAAAAACCACTTGAGAGTCAAACAGGGGAGCCAGCCAGCCCTACTGAGAGCCCTGAAACCCCCTCCCTCTAGTTCAGCAGTATGGCAGATGGAAGGCAGCAGGAGGGGACAGATCAGAATGGCAGAAGAGAAGAGGGTGAAGAATCCCACTGCAGCCCACAGAGACTAGTGAGAGAAAGACAGAAAAAGCTAGTGACATCTCTGAAATACCGTCAAGACCTGTCCTTCCCTATTCCTAGAGTCAGAACTCAGATAATAACCCTAAGCCATGCTATCAATTCTCTGCTCCCAACTCCGCCCCCTCCCTCCTTCCACATCCTGGCTTTCAGCTGATGGCAGATACAGCATCATGGCTGCTACCTCCTCTGAGAATATTGCCCTCCACAAGCCCCCCCCCCCAGCTCTCTGCCTCATCAACCCTCCAACTCATTTCCAACCTTGGCAGAAAGCATGTTTTTCTCCCGGTGACAGTACCTTTTAATGGCTGCCTCCCTTGTGGGCTGCACAGATAGCTGTGGGGACAGATGCTGCAGGAAGACACGTGCCCAGGCTATGGTCACCAGTGAGCCTGCCTGCACGCCTGACACGTAGGCAAATGAGCCCATTCCCTGCCTGCCTGGCTTAAAGACTTGGTTATCCTGAATACTTGGTAAGTCTAAAGCATTGAATGATGCCTAAAGGAGCTGACAGGAAGCTGAGGGCTCTGGAAGAAGAGGTGGGTCTGGTTTCTAGGCCAACCGCTCAGGTATCAGCCTCTGTGAGACCCAGTTTCCAGTCAGGGGAGGCAAAGGGGAGGCACCAGGGGAACTTAATCATTTCAGGTTGGCCACCAGAGATACACAGGGGTAATCAGGGTGGGATGGCAGGGAGAGAGAGGTAGTCCCCTGGAGCATTCTGGAGTGGGGGTACTACTGCTAAGCTAGAAAGTCAGATACCCGACTCTGCAGTTGTACCAGGGACTGAACTAGGAACCTGCACATGTTAGGCAAATAAACGCTCTACCACTGAGCTACACAGCCAGCCAGTGGCTTAGATCCATTTACTAGTCCACAATGCTAACAAAAGATGCAGACAATGATGCCTAGTGCCTAACCCTTCAGACTCGGCTGCCAGATGCAGGACTCCTGCACCACTCTGGAAAACAGCCGATTCCCATTGGAAAAGACTCAAGAAAAGCAAAACAAACAGCTCCTAAGGGTGGGACACCCTGAGCCCAGAGGGGCTGGAAACCCCAGAAGGGACAGCATCACTATGACAGGAAGAAACATAAAGTCAGGGCACTGGGCAGTCAAGGTGTCTGGAGAGCAGCTAAGCCAAGCCTCTGGCCTCCCCATAGAGGGCCTGGGTCTACCTCCTGACCTCTACCTAACTTCTTCTCTCTGAGTCACACTCAGCTCCTTTCCTCATGAACAGCACCCTGATCCATTGGGCCACAGTCTCCCAGGAGACCTGAGAAGGTCACGTTCGTCGCTGTAGGATAGCTCAGTGTCTAAAAACCATGAGGGTGCTGCATGCCCACGTGACTCCAGCAGTGTTAGGGTGATGAGATGAAGACATGAGATAATGAGCTCATTGGCCTGGGAAGCTCTCAGTGAGTCACCAGCAAGAGGACTATCTGCTCAACAGCCCTGCATAATTGTGCCCCTCGTTCACTGGGGGAGCCTGGCACAGCTACCTCAGGCCTGAAGTCAAAAGTCAGGACTCTAGTGGGCAAATCTGCTCTCTCTCTGACTCTCCTGCAAGTCCCCTCCCAACCCTGAGCCCCTATTTACTTTATAAAACATTCCATATTTGTTTTCAGAGAAAACTAGTACTTGGTGGAGGAGAGAACATACTTTTCCTGGTTCCTGATGAGGCACAAGGTTCCCCTCACCCACCCTCAGACCTGGCAAGGGTCAGTGACAGCTGGTGGAGCTCTCAAAATTGCACACAGAGCACCGAGGCTGCATTCACCCTTTACCCCATCCCTGGCCACCACTCAAGGGGAACAGGCACTCAGCAGTCCAAACACTGGAAGACAGGACAGACACACAAAACTGGCCCTTACAGCTCTGGAGAGACAGGTGAGGTGGGGCTGACTGCCACCGTCTCCTCAGGCTCCTCAGCCTCTCGCGGCCCCAGGCCCAGCTCTTCGGCCTGGGAGTGCTTTTCCTCAGCCCTCTCAGGGAGAGCAGGTGGGCTCGGGACCTGCTCCCTTGCAAGCAATAAAGAAGCAACTGTGTTAGGAAGTGAAGGGCTCAGCTTACAGCCTAGTCAAGGTCAAAGATCTGTGGTGGAGACAAGGAGAGTAGCCCTAGGGAAACTTCTGTACCTCACTCCTCAATCCCCCTCCCTCCCAGGCTCTTCTATGGCCATCTGAAGTGAAGACCAGATATTCCCACCCACGTGGGAACAGAGAAGGTCCAATCACCCAAAAAATACTGCACACAGCAGGTGTTCAATGGATGCTGTTGATTGAACACCTGCTACAGCGCAGCCTCCCCTGCGGCTCATTTCAACTGTAAGAACCTTTTTTGTTTGTTTGCTTGTTTTTCGAGACAGGGTTTCTCTGTGGCTTTGGAGCCTGTCCCAGAACTCGCTCTTGTAGGCCAGGCTGGCCTCAAACTCAGAGATCCGCCTGCTTCTACCTCCCGAGTGCTGGGATTAAAGGCATGCACCACCAACACCCAGCTCAACTATATGAATCTTAAGACCAATATCTTCCTTTAGCCAGGAGAACAGAGGCACTGGCAAATACACACCGAGCTCTGGACCAGGAGATCCAGCCCCCAGCCCCAACCCCACACTGCCTTCTGGCTTGGCTTGGGACAAAACAGTGCTCCTGCTCAGTTTGTGTGAGACTAGAGATGGGTTGACTCCTGGTAGGGAAATGCTGAAAGTAGTCCCCTAGCAGGAATGTAGTATCCAGAACAACCATCATCTGCCCCGGCAGGAGGCACACTCTTATACAGGAGTTCCTATGGATCCCCCAATCAGGCTGGCTACCCTAATTTCAGCTGTAGACTGAGAACACCCCACCCCCACTCCCACCCTCAACCCAGCTTCTGCTGCTCCGCTACTACTACTTTGGCTGCAGTGTCTACAACGGCTCTCATCCCCATCTCTGGGTCCACTATTTCCCACTAATACAATGACACAAGGAGGGGCCACCACCTTCAGGGACCCTTCCTCCTCATCCTTACCTCTGGAGGGAGACCATTGGGGTAGTGCTGGCTATAGAGTCCTTCCCAGGCTCCTCTGCATCCTTCCACTCAGGCTGCCCTGCCGGGGGCTGCAGAGGCCCTTTCTCGGGGGCCTGACTGTGAAGAGTACTCTGGAGCCGCTCCCTGAACAGAAATGGGGAGTGACAACCTGGTCAGGGCAGTCAGAGGTGCAGGGTCAGACCTTCACTTGGAAAGCAAGACGAGCACACACAGTGTGTGGGTTCAGTGTGCACAGTCCTCCTCAGCTGGACAGGAGTCACTACGCCCCACACCGACAGCAGCTTAGACACAGCAGCCACACATGCAGCACAGCAGCCTCCTCCTCAGGGTCACAGCTGCGCTCTCAGTGCCATGTTGCATGTGCCTGGTCCAGCAGCTCAACACTCTTACACATACGTCCATTCTCAGGATTCACCATCACTGGGGCCAGGGAGGAATGAAAATGGAGATGGCTCAGTGGTTAAGAGCATGTACTGCTCTTCCAAGGACCTCAATTCAATTCCCAGCACCCATGTCAGACAACTCATGACTGCCTGCAATTCCAGCTCCAGGACATTCGACACCTCTAGCCTCTGTGGGCACTCACACTCATGACTGAATGCATGCACACACAGAGACACACACATACATACACTTAAAAATCAAATAAAAACATTTAATGAGGCAAGGATAAATCGTGGAGATGACTCAGTGAAAAAGAACTCCTATTCTTACAGAAGACTCAGGTTCAATCCCCATCATCCACATGGATGCTCACAATCATCTGTAACTTCAGTTTCAGAGGATCAAACAATCTCTTCTGACCTCCTCAAGCACCAGGCACACATGTAGTGCACAGTCATACATGCAGGTAAAACATCACACACATAAAATATATCTAAAAATAATAATAAATGAGGAAGGGGACACCATGCTCAAGTGGTCACAGAGTAGCTAGTGCAGAGAGCATTACTGAACACAGCAAAGAAGGAAGAGCTTCAGTACCTAAGAGCATGGCGCTCCAGTCATCCAACAGTCCACTTCAGCAGCCCTGGCTCACAACCAGATACACACAGCTTAATCCAGCTTAATCAGCCCAAACCAACAAAGAGGACAGAGCCCTAGACTCACCAAAAGGCTATGTGCAAAGTCCTGCCAAGTGACACTTCCCACTCCTGTCACAGTGCATACCACAGGCAGGATTCCTCCCACCCCGCCCCCACACCACAGACACACACCTTGTACTGCCATCCAGCCAGGTCACTGCCTGTCTTCCAGCAAGGGCATACTAAGCCAATGGCAACCGTAAGGACCAGGAATTCTACCCTAGCCCATAGCACCCTGAAGACACAGCAAGCCTTGGGTCCCCAAGGCAGCTTCCCACTGTACCTCTCAGAGACTTGGGAACGCTTGCTCTGTGGCTCAGCTCTGCTGGACTGGCTGTCATCCTGGTCTTCCTGGGCCTGCAAGCAAGAGACCAGGAGAGAAATGCATTAGAGGGCTGTGTACCGCAAGGGTCTCTTATCCTGATGAGTCAAATGCTCAGCAGGCACACTATGGCGTGTCTTGAGAGGACAGGAACCACTGAGACACAGAGTATGTCTACCGACTGTGGAATGAAGCTTCCTAAAAGCTCTAGCTAAGCCCCTGGCCCACATACGGAACAGGAAATAAACACATAGATAGGAGCCAGAGTTGGGAGACCCTGGAGCCTATACTGCTAGCTGCAAAGAGAAGGCAACAATCTTCATGGACACCCTAAATTCACTGAGGCCTGGACCGATGGTACAGGGGTGCCAAAATAAAATGGGCAGACCAAAGGCAGTAGGTAAATACACCAGAAAGAATTCTGAAGCACCAGGATCTGGGTGGAGCAAAGGAGCCTATGCCCCAAAATGGAGGGTGCCATCTGACTTTGTGTGAGGACAGCGGAATGAATTCCTTCCAGTGCTCCATTCTAGGACATAAACCCCATCAACAGACGATGACACACACACACACACACACACACACACACACACACACACACACACACACACATACACACACAACACACCAAACACACCACATACATACACACACACAACACACACACAACACACACACAACACACACACATACACACACCCCACACACACACACCACACACACACATACACACACCACACACACCATACACACACATACACACACACCACACATACATACACACACATACACACACATACACACACCACACACATACACACACACCACACACCACACACACACACATGCACACACACCACACACACACCACACACACATACACACACACCACACACACACATACACACACACCACACACACACCACACACACATACACACACCACACACACACCACACACACACACACGCACACACACCACACACACACCACACACACATACACACACACCACACACACACATACACACACACCACACACACACCACACACACATACACACACACCACACACACACCACACACACACCACATACACACCACACACACACCATACACACACATACACATACACCATACACACACACCATACACACGCATACACACACCACACATACACATACACACAGACCACATACACACACACCCCACACACATACACACACCCCACACATATACATACACACACATCACACACACACACACACATACACACACACATACACACAGTCTGGTATTACAGCATCTCTTTGAAAATAAATCCCCAAATCTTATTTTACATCTTCGGTAGCTAGGCAAATTTAGCAAGCTGGTTTAAAAAAAAAAGATGATTTCAAATATTTCCTAAAGAAATATAGTGATGATGTCAGCCTGGGATCCATTCTTTGCTCCAGAACATCCTTCCTCAAGTGCCTCCTCCCCAAACTATGGCATGGTAAAGCTCAGCTTCCAGGGGATCGGTAAGGGTGCAATGTCCTACACATAAACATAACTTCTGCTGAGGAAGGCAGGCCACAACACCAGTCTCTATTCTCCCATCTTCTCCCTCAGCCTAAGACAGAGAGAAACAAAAAGCTCTGTGACAGCACCAGGTCCCACTCTAGGACCGGCCCTCCTGACAGAGAACTGTCTGCTCTGGGACTCAAAGGTCGCTGGGAGAGGTGGGACAGGAGACAGATCACTGTCTTCCCCAGTGGGGTCCCAGTCCTCTGCCCCTCACACACACACTTCTCCTCTGGCAGTCTGAACGCCCCCCATTTGATCTGACTCTGCCATCTGGGCAGGTAAGGAAGGGCAAGGCTTGCACGAAAACCCAGCTCCCCAGAATTACATGGAAACTAGCAGCGCCGTCTGTAAATACCTCTCAGAGCCTGAAGCAGATGGGCTCCCTGCCAGGGCTGCCACTCCTCACTGCATCAGCCTGGGCAGAGCCTACACACCCTCCCCACCCCGGCACTCTCCTTCTAGTGCTCAGCTCGCCACGAGTCCTCCCTGCAAACCACACGCTACCATCCTCTTTCTCCCACATCTTCAAAGACAGACAGAGCACACAGACCAACTGCACTTAACAAACTAAAACACGGTGCCTGCAATAAAAACTCAAAATGAGCTCAAAGCCACAAAGGACCACGAGGACACAGAGGCAGACTGGAGCTGAACACAGACCACACCATTTCGTCTGCCCCCCTCTTGCTTCGTGTCCTGTACTTTTGCAGCAAACTGAAGCAGCGTCCCAACAGAGAAGGGATAACGCGGGAAAAGCAGGACAGTGGGTCTTCAGCAGGGTTTTACTTCTCCCTGGAATTTTTGTCCCAGAAAAGAAGAAGATGACCCTGAGAGGGGACAGATGTGGTGGCACTCTTGAGAAAGGAGAGCAAAGCAAGCACTTAGCAATGCTAAGCCTCTGACCCTACACTCCTCAGGACCCCAGGACCCCAGCCTCACCTCAGCTCCCAAGTTTGGTTTTTAAGATCTAGTTCCCAGGTGGAAGCAGGAAGGTTGTAAGTCTGAGACAAGCCTGAGCAATTTAGGTTTGTTTTTTTTTTTTTAAGGGCAGGGACCAGGGTGCTGAGGTAGCCAGTAGTAGAGAACTCACCTAGCATATACAAAGCCCTATATTCAATGTTCAACAATGGAAAGGGAGATTCTTATCTTGACTGCAATGATAGCTTCAAAGGAATACATAGGGCAAAATGTATCAGACTTTTCTCTTTAAATATGCAGTTTATTATATGTCACTTACATGTGAAGCTGTATCATTTTCTTCCAGTGTTGGGGATAGAATCCAGGGTTTCACATGTGCCAGGCAAGTGCTCTATCACTAAGCTACATCCTAGTCCTCAAAATAATTCTGAGATGAGCAGAACTTAAGATAACTTCATTCTAGGGCGGTGGTGGCACACACCTTTAATCCCAGCACTTGGGAGGCAGGGGCAGGCGGATCTCTGTGAGTTCGAGGTCAGCCTGGTCTACAGAACAAGTTCCAGGACAGGCTCCAAAGCAATACAGAGAAAGATAGTTTCATTCTAAGGCTCTCCCTGTTCCTAGCCTTGGGAGTGATCAGAAGAGAGGAAATGAGGCTAGAGCCCCAGAGGACCACAAAGAGGACTGAGCCTATGGTCTGTCCATGCTGTGCAGTGGCTGCTGCTCCCTCCTGAAGCTCCGCCCTTCCACACCATGCGAACAGGAGACAGCTGCAGGCAGAGCCCTGTGAGAGGCACTCACTGCTGGCCCACGGGCCAGATCATCTAGTGCCACCCACACTCTATCATAATGGTTAAAGTTGAATTAGACCTCCCTCTGTCGGGTTGGCTGCCAGCAGCACTAAACCCAAGCGCGATCCCTGCCCCTGCTCTATGACAAATGGTAGCAGCCAGAAGGGACTACTGGCCTCATTAGGGCTCAGGGGGTCCCCGAAACCCACCTTCTCTAAAGCTCCCAAGGAAGTCAGGTAGTAGTGAGGCTTTGGAGACACAGCCCTGGAACCCACCCTGCCCTATAGACCTAGTGGCTTTCCCACTTGTTACCAATGGGGCCTCACAGTGCGCCTGCTTGCTACAAGCCCTTCCTACCCAACCCTACCTGCCCTTCTCCACGCCTTCGTGTCCTCAGCACTGCAAACAAGGGGTATCCAAAGTCTAGCAGAGACCTGGTAACCGGGTAGCTACCCAGGAAGCAACCAGCCAGACATGAGAGTAACATATGGTGCTCAAATGAAGTCTGAAAACACGGGCTCCCTGTATGCACCAGCACACACCAGCACATACCATGCTGGGTTCATATTAAACATCCTTGTTTCACCCAACAGATTCCCATCCACTCAAACCAGTTGTTCCTTAAGCCCTGAGGAGACCGTGTGCCAGAATCCCTCTTCTAGCAGCCCACGAGGGAGAAAAGCAACTGCTCTGACTTAAGCCCCTCTTAGGGCAGCATCTGTGTTTCGGGCACCTTTCTACCTTCCTGAGCGGAGGCCAGCTGACATCTAGCAGACGAGACACACAAAACACTGAAAGCAAAGTAAGAATCCTGGGAGCAGAGAGGGGACAAGTCACCACCTCCAAGCAGGCACCAGAACTGGGTCTTAGAGCCTAAAGAAGAGAATACAGGGGTTAAAGGGGAAGCAACAAGGCTGACAGAAAAGTCACAAGGCACAGCTTGTGCAGACCGCTGACAGAGCTGGCAGGGATGGGTGGGCAGGTGGTCAACCCTCAGTTGCTGTATGAATAAATGGACATGAGGCAGGGCAGGAATGTTTCAATGCATAGCAGCAACAAAGCAATCATGGCCAGAAGCTCTGTCAGAGGCAAGTGTCTGGAGCGAGAGAATGTCAAGATGTCCACCCTGAAAGGCAGGAGTCAACTAAAAGTAGCTGCCGGAGAAAGTGAGGCCCTAGCCCAGCCCACCCAGACTCACCCCCCAGTGGGCTCCATCCAAGACTGGAGAAAGCATGTCACCTTCCAGCAGGTGCTCTGAGATCCGGCTGCGAAATCCAAAGTCCTGGAGACGGTAGAGATGAGAAAATCAGCTCTGCCCTTGTCATGGTCAGTGTCTGCCAACCTTTCAAAAAAGATGTGCACTGTGTCCTAGGCACTGAGCTTAACTCTGTGACATCTAATTAAGTTCTCAAAGCAGGCAAGATGATGAGGGAAGCAAAGCCAGCATTCCCTGTACACTAAGTGGAGAGCGTGAAGGTTCACTATAAAATTCTTCTGGTTTTTCCTATATATTTGGCATTTTTTCATAATAAAATTATACACAAAAATAAGCCTACAAGACTGAAATGCGTATGCCCTCATGGACGCAGATGTAGGAGGACATGAAATTTGGCCAGGAAAGAAAGCTGGTAACAAGGTCAGGTGAGCCCGGGCAGACTCTTCCTAAGACACACGCTGCACAGCACGGCTCTTCCCAGCCGTCTTCCCTCCCCATCCATCCCACACCCAAGCAGGGCAGAAGTGCCAGCAAACCCAGACCCATGGGAGGCTTGGAAGTGGCACCTGATGGGTCCTTCCAGTTCATTCCTTCCTTCTTCCCATAGAGGTGGCCCCCTCTCTCCCTCTGTAGACAATGGTAATCATTAGCAGTGATTTGTCTGCAGAGTCCTCTTGGAGACACGCAGCAGGTGCCCACACCAAGCCCAATTCCTCATTGTCCTTTGGCTGCCACAGGACCACACCACACCCCTTCTGAGCCTAAGATCCTGCTGAGCTCAGTGAAGGATTGCTATCCAACAGTATTCTAATTGGGACACTTCTGCCATCCCTGATGGATGGCAGGATTCCCAGAAAAGGTCTGATCCTGGGGTCTCCAGCTTCCTCCCTCCATACCCAGAGTGAAGAATGCTGACGGGCATAGCAGCACACAGTAGCAGCTTTGGAAGCGCCAGACCACTTGTTTCCAAGAGTTCAGTGAAACACAGTTATTCATCATTGTCAAGTGTTTAGTTGGTTAAATGGGGTTTTTGTTATTTTGTTTGGGGTTTGGATGCATTTTGTTTTGTTTTTACCAATAATGGGTTTTGTTTTTGTGGGGCTTTGTTTGTTTTAGGACTTTTTGTTTGTCTGTTTGTTTGTTTGTTTTGTTTTTTGCTTACCTTTCTAGTTTCTGGGGGTTTGTTGGATTTTTATACTTTCCCTTCAGTTTGATTTCTGCTCCATCTAATGCAGCTGCCATCTGCTTCCGAAGCCCACGGCTCAGTGTGGGGCCAGAACACTCAGCTGCCTAACTCCTCTGCCGCCCTCTTGGCTTCTCTGTTCATCCCTGACCCTCTTCCACTAATCCCTTCCCTTATAACTGCCTCCTCTGAGCAGATGGAGGGGGACATGCAGAGGCAACATTGGACCAAAAGTAACCCAATCTCCCCTTTAAGACTCAGACTTGGCAAATGGACTTGAGATCTAGCAGGCTGGATGGAGGTCCAGGACACAGAAATCATGGATGACCTGGCAGTACAGGACAAAAGCCTTAACTTTCAAATTAAATCCTGGCCAAAGCCTAGCAGCCATCCTCAGCATGGCTCAGTGGCCCAGGGACACCTGGAGCATCATGAATATAACTGTCCTGCTAGGTCTCAGGCTGCTCAAGTGGCCTCGTAGAAAAGTCACACAAAGTCAGAGCACTGACACTAGCCGGTTCATTCCTACAGCAAGCTGATGAAGCGGGCAGTGCTACCCCTGGTTACTGAGTTGAGAAACTGGAACTACTAACCAGACCTAATTTTGTGGGTTAATTGTCCCACTTCCCAGATGTGTGACCATTGGTAAAGTACTTCTCTGGTGGAAAAGAAACACCAGGCTCCTTCATACCGCCCTACTGCAGCTCACTACAACTCACCAGGCCAAGGAAAGGCTTGCGGACAGAAGCTTCAGATTCTGAGAACTGTGGCTCCTTCAAGTGTTCAAGGATTTCTGACTCCTACAGGGACACATGACAGAGAAATGCCCCCCAAATGTTCAGGGCTGCTATCCATGGAATTCTCAATAGGCCATAGGGCCAACATAGGACTGAGCCCAATCCAAAAGTCTACCAGTTTTGAAAAATAACAGATATAAACACCTACACAGGAATGGAGCTATGTACTTATGCTGACAGTGGACAACCACACCCCAAATCAGACCAGCAGGATTTAAACAGGAAAGGAGAGGTAAGAACAGCAGAGACAGGAAGTCAGCACTATAGACATTTGATGCTATCTGAAAAAATAAAGTATATCTTAATGTGTGTGTGTGTGTGTGTGTGTGTGTGTGTGTGTGTGTGTGTGTGTGCGCATGTAGAAACCATAGGTCAGGATCAGCTGTTGCTCTTCATGATGTTTATACACTTTGTTTTGGGGGATGGAATCTTTCACTGGCCCGAAGCCCATCTGATCTAGCTAAGCTGGCTGGCCAGTGAGCTCCAGGAATCCATCTATCTCCCTCTCCCCAGTGCTGGGATTATACAGTACTCATCAGTACACCTGGATTGTAAAATGGGTTCTGGAGCCTGTTGGTGGTGGTGCACGCCTTCAATCCCAGCACTCAGGAGGCAGAGGCTGGTGGAGCTCTGAGTTTGAGACCAGCCTGGTCTACCAAGAGTTCTAGGACAGGCACCAAAGCTACACAGAGAAATCTGTCTTGAAAAATCAAAAGAAGAAAAAAAAAGATGGGTCAAAGTCAGACCTTCATGTTGTTCAACAAACACTTTCTGGACCAGCTCTGGAAGTTTCTTTTCTAGGATAGAAGCTCTCTAAATGAATTCCCTCATTGAGAAAGACTAAAGGGTAGGAAAAGCTATAACGCCAAAGGGGCTCTCTCTCTCTCTCTCTCTCTCTCTCTCTCTCTCTCTCTCTCTCTCTCTCTCTCTCTCTCCTCCCTCCCCACATGCACAAACACACACAGACCTACTTCTGACCACTTTGGTTATTGAAGAATGTATGAATGTAACCACTTGCATGTTTGGGATTGGTACAATTGTCATAGAAATGGATGAGAAGAGTCATTCTGTAATCTGACCTATCTGTGCTGGTGCAAAACACTTAACTCCAATAGCCTTCACCTCACCCCCACCCCAAAACACACACACACACACACACACACACACACACACACACACACACCTACCCTTCTTTAAAGGAACTCAGATTTCAACAAACCAAGACAACATATAAATGGGGAGAAGTAACAAGGACAAATGAAGAGCATGTATCCCAGGAGGTGCCAATGGAAAAACACATTTCTGCTCTGAATTCCCAGTGCCAGCAGGTTTGCAGTTTCATTCAGGACTTTACTTCCCGCTGGGTCTGGGCGTATTTGTCACAATTAAGGACTCTGGCTGATGTTGGCAGCTGAATGCAGCTCCTGTCTCGGTAATACAGACATGGAGGCAGGAAGCTATAAGGAGCTGGAGACAGCAGCAGCGGGATCCAGCTAACAACTGCCTTGCGACCAAGGGACTTACCTGACTGGCGTCTGATGTGCTCTCCTCCAGGGCAGAAGCTTCCTTGGACTCCTTGGCTGCACTTTCCTCTCCTGCCTCCACTGCATCCTCTGCCTGCTCCTTTTGAGAGGCCTTGGCAGAGTGATCATCCCCAGAGTCCAACGCAGGAGCCACCTCACTCGTGGGAGCCTTGAGACTGATGTTCTCATTTTCTTTCTGGGGGTCCCAGGAACTTGCCCCTCTTCCCTGGGATCTGCTGCCATCAGCACTGGCCAGACTACAGTCACCACCCTGGCTGAACAGCTTGCCAGGAGTCGGGGGCCGATCGGCATCTGAGTCGAGAGAAGCATCCTTCTTGTCTACTGGCTGGCTGGATCTTGGAGACTCCTGAGGAGCGAAGACAACATCAGAGAGGAGCCAAAAAGTTTAGAGACTGACACAAGATGGGAGTGGCCATTCCTTGACTCTCAGGTGGACTTTGTGAGCTCTGACCCTGTTATCCTACATAGCTCTGTGTGTGTGTGTGTGTGTGTGTGTGTGTGTGTGTGTCTGCCTGTGTATGTATGTGCACAGCATGTGTGCACACTTACATATAGAAACCAGAGGTCAATATCAGTTGTCTTCTTCCGTTGCTCTGAGGCATGGCCTCTCACTGAGTCTGGAGTTCACCAATTTGGTCAGACTAACTGTTGGGCCCCAGCCCCATGGGGTCTCTGTGAGTTGCTGGTCAGCCTACAAGGGCAACTTGTTTTCCAGTCCAAGTGCTTTCTGTTTTCTAGTCCTGGCTTACTGCCCTGGCCTTGACCCTCTGACATCAACATCTAGTAGGAGGAAAACAAGATCTCTCCTACCTGGGGTTTTTCCACTGTGCTGTAAACCTGTATATAAAGCTCCTCCCTCCTACAAGAGGAAGACCTCTTAGCACTTGCAATGAAGACACACACACACACACACACACACACACACACACACACACACACACTCTCTCTCTCTCTCTCTCTATCTATCTCTCTCTCTCTCCTGGCAATAAAGGCAGCACATACATTCTCTTAGTACAAACAAATGAACGTCTGGTCTCTCTCTTTTCCTGATACCTTGGAGTGGCTTGTGGTGCTGGCGCCGCAACTAACTGGCCAGCATGCTCTAGGAAGTCACCTGTCTCTTTGCTACCAGCATTGGGGTTATAGATGTATACTGCCACACCTGGATTTTAAAATGGGTGCTAGGGATCAGAACTCAAGTCCTCACTTTACCCACTGAGCCATCTCCTTAGCCCTCCCAAACAGTCTTTTTTTCCTTTAATGCTTTAATTACATATATTATATATATGTAAATATATATATATGCATATATATATATATATATGGGCATGTACGTGTGAATGCAGGTGTCTGTAGAGGCCAGAAGCACTGGATCCTACTGGGACTGGAATCATGGGCAGTTGTGAACTACCCAGCATAGGCACAAGGTCTTCTGCAAAAGTAGTGTGTTCTTAACCACTGTGAGCCCTCTCTTCAGTTGCCCAGAAGCTTTGCAAAACACAGATTGCTGGCCCTTGACCCACATCCAGATAAACTGAATGGCAGTTTCTGGGATGGTATGGACACATTAAACTGGGCTTAGAAATTATTGTGACTCTGCCATCATCTGCCACATTCCTCAGTCCTGTCAGCCAAACCCTCAACCCACAGGAGCCAATAATCACTCAAAACGATGACAGACACCATGCAGGAGAACAATAGCAAACACCAGAACTTTTACTTTTCATTTTTCAAAGAAAGAAAAGGAAAAATATAAGAAGGGCACTCCTCCTCCCCGAGTCTCCCTACACATGCTGATCACCAGCAACCCTGCAGACGGCATCTTCTATCTAGGACACTCGGGTCTCTGGGAAGCAGATGTCCAGACGGGATTAGCTAGGTAAGAGATGGGCCAGAGGCAATAAAGGAGGAAAAGACACAGGTCATCATCTGTGATGAGGAGCACAGGACAGTTCTGAGCACACCTGAGCCAAGCAGCGTGCTCAAGCAGGCTGCTATCAGAGAAGTTCCACATCAGGCAGCCAGGAAGGGCCTGTTCCCAAACTCCTGGTGAGAGCTGTCACACTAGAAGGAAGTGGAATCTTAGCATGAACCAGGAAAGGCAAAAGGGCCAGTAACTGGCAGCTGTCAATGTTCTAAACTCTACTTTGGCTGGGTCTCCTGAAAGGAGGGCTGAGCTGCACACTTAACACAGTGACCACACCCTGTTTTCACATACAAACTCACTAGTAAAAATCCAGGGCTGCTTCTGCTAAATTCTTCACAGAGCTGACCAAAATAGGAACAGAAAGCCCTCCCTCAGAAATACAGCCATTGATCTCTCCTGGGCCCAGACTCAGAGCCTCCTTCCAGAAAAACATCTGTGATGGCACTCAGCTGTCAGGCTGAACAACTCCTGATCAGGGATTTTTAAGACTTCCCGATTTCCTATCCTGAAGATTAAAACAAGGAGCATATTAAGTGCTATAGTTTGGGTCGAAGTGTCCCCCAAAAGACCTATGTGGTGGAGGCTTGCCCTAGGGTGGCATTGCTGAGAAGGGGTAGGACTTTTAGGACATGAGTCCTAACTGAGGTCTCTGGTTACATCTCTTTGCTCCTTGGCTTATGGTGTGAACATCTCTGCTAGGCCCACATGCTCCTGCCACGATGGGCTGCCTCACCACAGACCTGAAAGGAGGGAGGTAATCAGTCACGCCTTCACGTTTAAAACTGCTGGCAGATATAAGCCTTTTCTTAATATGCCATAAGGGTTAATTTAGATATTTCACTCTGGTAGTGGAAAGCCAAGCATCACAAGGCAAGTGGGCAGCTCGAAGGAGAAGGCCTCTGCACGGCGTCTGCTGCTGTCCTAGTGCAATGTCTGTTGAAGCCAAAGACAGAGCTATTGCAGATCTGGCAGCTGACTGACAGCCCAGTCCAGGCTCCCAAGAAATGGTAAAGGGAGTCAGGAGATGCCATCTCAAGCAAATTATTGTGCCTACCCATAACTTCCTTTTAAATACAGAGATTCAAGGAGTGCCCACCTTACAGGACCACTTGGAGGGTTAAATGAGTTAACACTCATTAAGTGAGGTAAAGAACTTAGAATTATGCCTGTCTACACTGCCAGTGCCCCAGAAATGATCACTAATTTTCTATGATAATGAGACCCCATATTCATCCTCTGAGAGCTTCAGTGTGCCTTAGGGGACAGGAGATGACCAAACAGATCCTGCCTGTGGGACACTATGCTAACAGAGAAAAGTGGCATGTCCCACGTGGGCCTGTTTGTGGGTTTGAGCCTAAGTCGCACTGGGAGCAGGTGTGACTGCTGTCCATCCCCAGCCTGTTCCTGGAAGAACAGCAGAAGGTGAAGTGGAGAAGCGGACAGTAGCCAGCACCACCCTTCTCTTCAGGAAAGTGGCTTCATTCAAGCTGGGACCACACCACCCACACTCAGCAGAGCTCCACAACTGGCCTACCAGGCTCTGTGGCCCCAAGGAAGAGAGTGGCGCTTACAGGGGGGTGAAGGGTGTCTATTCAGCATGAGCCATTCATCAAATGGGACCAGTCCATGCTAGTCAGGCTCATCCTGGAGGTAAGGAAGGCTCTCCTGTCCTCCTCCTTCAATACGGGGCTGAAACCTAGTCCTAAGGGGTTACCTAGCAACAAACTGTGGCCTGGGAGACAGACAGAGGAAGTGTCAGACACCAGACAGCCCTTCCTGTTTCTTCTCACAGTTCATCCCTGCCATATCTTACATCCCCTCCTGCCTGTGCTTGAACACTGCTATTTCTCTGCTCTGCTATGCACACTCTCGTTAGTTTTCGGAGATGTCAGACCTCACACCTGCTGCCTGTGCTCTACCACCAAGTCACACATTCCTGACACAAATACTCCCCATCCCCTGACAAGCCACCACTGGTCTTCACAGCATCACCTCTCTCAGGAAGCTTTCCTTGGTCTCTTTGGTCCCTGAACCCTGGGTCTCTGCCACAACAGCTATAACAGCTGTGAGTTTGTTTATTTTCCTTACTAGTTTCTGTTACATAGGATGTTCAAAGTCTTGAATAAGGTTGTTTTGTTTTTATTTTTGAAGAATGCATGTGTTGTGGGGCAGTGGTGGCAATCCCAGCACACCGGAGGCAGAGACAGGTGAATCTCTGAGTTCGAAGCCAGCCTCCTCTACAGAGCAAGTTCCAGGACAGCCAGAACTACCACACAGAGAACTCTTGGCCAGGTGGGGGGGAGGGGACAACACTGACACGTGTGGACAACGGTAGGAGTTGAGGCTTCCCTTCTTCCAATCCCAAATGGAGATGTAATAGTCATATGTGGGTTAGACTATTTTGCTACGGTGCTTATGAAATGTAATGTTAACTCTTAACTATTCAAAATGATGAAAAAGAAAGTAAGTCATAAAACTCAGAGGGTGGCCAGGTAGTGCATGCCTTTAATCCCAGCTCTCCAGAGGCAGAGACAGGCAGATCTCTGTGAGTTTGAGGCCAGTCTGGTCTACAGAGCGAGTTCCAGGACAGCCTCCAAAACAATACAGAGAAACCCTGTCTCGAAAAACCAATAAATAAATAAATAAATAAATAAATAAATAAATAAATAAAACAAAACAAGCAGCCTTGGTCTGCATCCACATCTACTGACTACACATCCATAGGACAGCCAGAAATGCATAGAGAAAGCAGGGGAAATTAAACACTGGCTGTCTATCATCTACAAAAAGATGCAGGAATATAAGAATCTCATCTGACTCCACACTGTCCCTGTTCACCCAGCCCATCCTTGGCTGTCCCCGGGCCTAGGTTCTGAAGCTCCCAGCCAGTATGCAGACCGCAGACATCTCTGTACAGTCTCCTGCTCCAGGCTCTGTGGGTGCACAGCTCTGCTCTGGGCCTCTCCATGCTCAACTCCCCAACCTCCTACCACAGTCTCAAGACCTGCATCTCAAGGCACATTTCAAGATTTTGCCATCTGCACAAGAAGGGGGTGAAGAGAGCGTCTGTCTGAATCAGTTCTTGAATATTTAGCACTTTTCAAAAATCATGAGGCTCCCCAGGTTGCAGTCCTACCCCCTCACCTGCCCAGAGCACAAAGGCACTTGGGTTCCCATGATCCACACAGGATGGAGGGAGGGGAATCACAGGGCCTGCGGGAAGGTTACCTCGACAGCATGGCCATGCATTCATACTGTTCTGGGGAGCCTCCCGCTAAGCCAACCATCGCTCAGGGTTATTTTCCAGGTCTGGTGCCCATTCAGTTGGTCTCAGTTCTTTGCACAGCTCCCCGGGTGTAGTTAGCACTTTCCAATCACACTGACATCATCCCGTGATTTCTAAGCTGAGGCTCCCTCCCTCTCTTTTGATAGCTGATGGCTTTTCATCAGCACCACACGACCACATACCACCTCCTCACCACCCTCTGCCTCCCCCTCTCCCTCAGAAGCCTTCTTGGTGTGGGCTCCATGAACCTTTCAGTCTAATAGACTAGCAATGGGTTTAGGTTGGAAAGCAGAAGAGGGAGTAGACTCTGACAGAGCAGCATTCTTGCCATCCTGCTGCCCTCTTGTGGAAGGAAGAGCAAATGACTGCTTGGTGACACTGGGCAGAAGGAAGCAGCTGCAGAGAGCTAACTGCAAGACCCAGGTGGGGGTGGGGTAGCACCATTTCAAAGGTCAGTGCCCAAGTGGAGGCAGCTTTGCCTGCCTAGAAGCCTTCACTGATCTCCACCACTAACATCTCACCCAAGGGAAAAAACCTAATACCTACGGAGGTTAGGACATAGGACTACAATACCCCATGTGGCAGAGAACCGCAGACAGGTACATGAGGTGTCTAAGCATCACCTACTCCAGACTTTCCCTACCTCACTGTGGTGCCAAGCAAGCCATTAAAGTGTTTTCAAAGCTCCTGCTCCCCACACCAGCAAGGGGAAAACTTCGGAAGTTCGTAACATGTCAAGGAGAAAATTGTCTTTCATGGTTGACACCTGTAATCCATTAAGAAGTAAGCATGACCAAACTACAGTGGAATTTCAATCCCCCAGCTGACTGCAAAGAACAAATAACCTACTGTACCCAGAAATCAAGAAAGCCAAGGGAAGGACAAAACACCACCCCGAGCACTTCCTGTGTCCCAGGGAGTGGGCTAGGTGCTGGGTACAGACATAAACTATGCAGCATCTACACCCTCAGTGTGCCTGATCCCCTGGAAATCACCCTCTTTCTCCAAACATGGAAGCCTTCATGACACCCCTTCTCCTAGTCACAGACACCCACCCAGGTGCAAACTGAGGAACTTCTCTGAGTCCACCAGTCAGTCAGCACTGGCTAACGGTGGTTGAGAAGAAAACAAAGTCCTCCTGTAGAGAACCAAACAAACCTCTTTCCTCAAGCAGACCCCCTACACTCAGAAGGAACAATTTCAAAGCAGATGCGTATCAGATTGCAGATACAGATGGGGCAGTCGGGAAAAGTGCTACATTTGGCAGAAAGTGTTAAAGGCACAATCAAAACATAGCTGACTGTGCAGAACCAAAAGGCTGAACAGATCCTGGGATAACAAGCAAAGCTTTACTATGAAATGGGTCCTACCCCAAAGATAGAGTAGGGTCCCCTTGAGAGATGCACCTACAGGAGGTCTCAACTACCATCCAGAACCTGTCAGCCAGCGTGTGGACTTTGACAGTACCCTGCCCTCCAAGCAGTGGTGAATACCAAGAAATATGAGTCAGAAATAATAAGAGATTGGGCCAGTAAGACAGTTCATGGGTAAAGGCACTTGCTGCCAAGTTTGACAACCTGAGTTCAATCCCCAGGAACCTCATGGAAGGAGAAAACTGATTCCTCAAAGGTGTCCTCCACCCTTCACATGTACTCTGTGACACACACACATATGCAAATAAATAAGTTAAAACGCAATTTTAAAAATAAGGGAGGCTGAGGGAGATTTCTCAGAGGGTAAGAGAGCTTGCTGTGCAAGCATGAGCACCCATGAAAAAGTCAGGCGTGGCCACAGGAGGATCACAGGGACATGCTGCCTGCCAGGCTAGTGCCAGGCTCAGTGAGAGACCCTACACTGAGGGAATGAATGATTAGGCAGTGAGTGATAGAGCAGAATACCCAATGTCCACCCCAGGCCTCCAAGTGCACCTGAGCATATGATCCAGCAAATATACATGTGCAACACACACACACACACACACACACACACACAGTCACATACGCACAAAGAATAGGGATAATTATGAAACCAACTACAATTTGTGATGGAAGCACCTTTGCTCCTCTGGCTAGGTTTGTGGTTATACTAATGATATAAAAATAATTTTGTCTTAGCCGGGCATTGGTGGCACACGCCTTTAATCCCAGCACTCGGGAGGCAGAGGCAGGCGGATCTCTGTGAGTTCGGGCCATCCTGGTCTACAAAGCGAGTTCCAGGAGAGCCTCCAAAACAATACAGAGAAACCCTGTCTCGAAAAACCAAAAAAAAAAAAAAAAAATGATTTTGTCTTAAAGGTATGAAAGCCACTAATGACAATATAACATATAAGGCCTGTATGAGGCTTAGACCTTGTGATCAGTATTTAAATGTCTTCATGATTCTAATGTGAAACTTCATGATTCATTGCTTATAACAAATATTTGAGGAAAATTTAGAGAACTATTTATTGCTTAAAAATTAATAAATCAGGGAGTGGGAAGTAAAAAAATTTAAAAATTAATAAATCAGACACTAATTTCTACGTCCAGGCTCCAAAACCTGCACGAAAGGTTTCCGTATGATGCCTGTGTGCTCTCCATGAAAAACAAACTGGAGGCAGCATAGGTCAGCCTTCAGAAATAGGTGGGGTTTTGGAAGCGTGCTCCGGAAGCTGTTCCCACACACATGCTTTTGTCCGCCCTCAAATCTTTGCTCAGGCTCTTCATCCCCGTCTAAAACTTAGCTTCCCTTCCAAACCCAGGGCAATGTCATCTCTTCCGCCAACTTTGCCTGGTATCTGGGCACAAAATCTCTTTCCTGTGTAGTATACAGGGAGGAGAGGGCCATAAGCATACGCATCTCATTATGCTCAAAGTACCTGCTGGTGCAGGCGCTTCACCAAGAACTGGCCATGTGACAGCTGAGAGAATGGATTCCCTGAATCCAAGAAATCTTGAACAGACCCATGTGGCAGTAAATTATTTTCAGGTGTGTGGCTTTTGTTTATTCTGCATTTGTTTAACTCTGTGAAGCTGTGTTACTGTGCCTGTCTAAAACACCTGATGGTCCTAATAAAGAGCTGAATGGCTAATAGCAGGCAGGAGCAAGGATGGGCGGGGCTGGCATGCAGAGAGGATGAACCGGAGAAAGGAGGAAGCCAGGAGCAAAGAGAGAACAAGGAGATGAGGATGAAGTAGGAAGGAAAGTAAGAAATACAGAAGTAAGAAAGAAAAAAGCCCAGAGGGAAAAGGGAGATGGGTTAATTTAAGATAAGAAAAGCTGGCTAGAAACAAGCCAAGCCAAGGCTGGGCATTTATAAGTCAGAATAAGACTCCGTGTGTGATTTATTTGGGAGCTGGGTGGTGGACCCCTCAAAAAAAAAAAACCAAAAAGCCAAAAGAGTAAAAAACATTTCAAACAACATACCCAAATGGACCAGTTCCTTTTCCAAATACGCTCTGCAGACAGCAACGCTTTGGAAGGAACAAAGGTAAGGTCCAGGTGAAGCATTTACCAACAGGGTTCTCAGGCTCTTACCTCATACTCAAAGTCACCTCCCAGGGCACCGAGGTCCAGATGCAGGTTCTTGAGAAGTTCATTGGAGTTTCTGACACTCTGCAAGCAAAGATAACTGTGAGCACTGTCTTAGTTAGGGTTTCTGTTACTGTGTGAGAGTTCATGACCAAAATCAATGTGGGGACGATAGGGTTTACAACTCTCAGGTCATAGTTACTGAAGGGACTAGAAGCAAGAACCAGGACAGAGGCCACGGAGAAGTGCTACTTTCTGGTTTGCTCTTCCTAGCTCGCTCAGCCTGCATTATTTATTTATTTATTTATTTATTTATTTATTTATTTATTCATTTATTTGTGGTTTTTCGAAACAAGGCTTCTTTGTGTAGCCCTGGCTGTCCTGGAACTCACTCTTGTAGACCAGGCTGGCCTCAAACTCACAGAGATACACCTGCCTCTGCCTCCCAAGCGGCTTGGACTAAAGGCGTGCGCCACCACCCCCCAACTGTTCAGCCTGTATTCGTATACAACCCAGGATCTCCTGTTCATAGCACTTCCCACAACATGCTGGGCACACAATTAATCACTAACCAATAAAATGCTTCACAGGCCAATCTTATGGAAGCATTTTGTCAATCAGAGTTCCCTCTTTTCAGATAACTCTAGTTTGTGTCAAGTTGACCAAAAACAAACAAAAAAAAAGTGATAAGTCTAAAAAATTGGCCAGCTCAACATGAATGCCATGCAGAGGAGAATGGGGGTGCCCTGGCAAGGCTTTGGAAGACTCCAGGGCAGGCCCTCCACTAAGGTCACTCTAAGTAGCCTTTTCTCCAGTGAGCACAAGGCCAAGCAAGTATGTTATGTTCTCCAACTCAGGCCTAAGAGGCATATAGACTGGTCAAGAAAGGAATTGATGGGTGGAAAAAATATGCTTTTATTTATTTTTAAAATGGCTGGGAGGTTAGCCAAAGATAGAGCAAATCCATGTACCCACCAACAGATGAGCGCATAAACAGAACATGGTGCATACACACAACAGGCTTCAAAATGAGTGTTTACATACTCACTGCAGCACACTGAGTGAAAAGGTGCCAGACATCAAAGAAAAACACTGTGATTTTGCTCACATAAAACATCTAGAACTGGCAAATGCATGAGCCAAAAAAAAAAAATAGATTTAGAGGTTACCAGGGCTGGAAGAAAAATTTGGAAGGATTTACTGTTTGGTGGCCAGAATCTGGGATTATAAACAAGTTCTGAAAATGGACAGTAGTGATAGTAAACAACATTATGAAAAAAATTAATATCCCTGAATTACTGCAAAGTTAAAGTAAGTCAAAATCTTACCTGTGTGTGTGAGAGCTTTACCACAATTTAAATATATATACACCCAGAGGGTTTTGAGGTCAGAAAGGGGATGTCAGCTTTACCTGGTTGTCACTCTCCTCCTCGTCCTCCTCATTGGTTTCTTCCCCTAAAGCCAAGAGACTGAGAGCTCGCCTGCCCTCGTGGGCAGAACCCAAGAAACCCTTTGCACAAGCAGCAGTCTTGAGACCCTGTGGAGGCTCCAAAACACAAAGGGAACAAGAGACTTACCAAAAAGACCTTCAGAATGACCCTGGCATGCTCCCTTAATTCATACCTAGACGGGCCCCCAGTCAAGTCCCACTATTCCATAAATCTGCAGTCTAACTCACACTGCTTACTCCCTTTCCAACTCCCACTGCCCTTGTCCCATGGATGGGGAGATCAGCACAGGTGGCCTACAGCCCAGTCCACCCCCACCACCAGAGTGACTCTTCTCAGACTAGCTGGAACACTCTGGAGACACAGCTTGTGTCTCAGGGACAAGACACAGTTCCCAATATGACACCCAAAGGTCCCACAGTAACAAAGTATATGCACAGCAGAAGCAGGACTCACCAGTGTGGGTTCCCCGATCTGCCCAGAATCTGCCGAGCTCCCCAGGCTCATACTCTGAGATCCACGAAGAGCAGAGGGTGGGGCATCCCCAAGGCCTCGTAAGGGAGCCAGGTTCCAAAGAGGGGCTTGGACTGGGGCTAAGGGGGAACCCAGGACCTGGGCAACAGAACACATTTTGTTACAGACCCCAGAAACCACAACTCTCAGGGTGTTGGAGGCAGATATAAAAATAAAGCATCTAAATCCTGCCTGTTCCAATTTAAACCGCCTCCGCTCGGTGGCTGCTAATGAAACACAACATCCAGAAATACCATGTGCCAACTGGGTGAGACTTGCAGACCAGTTTCCTGATTCTTTTTAACTTGTCTGCTAGCTCACATCTGGCAAATGCTAACACTGGGGGCTCTGCTCCCCTTTCAGGAGCCACATAACAAGTGAACAGGACTGGGGGAGGGCAGAGATAAACCCCAGCTACTACAAGTCTCTACAGTTGACGCTTAAAACTGATGATTCAAGAAAAAGCAGTCTCAACATGTTACTGACAAAGACAGACACACACACCAGAAGAAAGTGCAGGCCTGCGTGTAGGGCTGTGCACACCGAAGGCTGCGGTACATAAACACACACTCTGTCATTCTCTTTGACTTGCTTTCCCCTGTTCTCGGGAGATCCAAGTGAAGGCTACCTTCATGCCAACGAGGACTGGACTAAAAATCCAGGCTGGGTTCGAATGTAGGAACCCTCAGGCTACTCACAGCCTCCCACATTCCCAGTTCCTTCATCTGCAAGATGAAGTGGGTCCATGCTTGACCTACGGGGTCTGCTAAGAAACTCAAATGAGATGACAGACACAACAAGGAGCCTAGGGCTGGAGCGATATTATGGAATCGATCATCTGGCCTAACCAGTTAGAGGCCAGCACAGGAGAGACTGCTCACTGGTTAAGAGAGTCTGACGCTCTTCAGAGGATCTGAATTCATTCAAATCCCCATAACCTACTGCCTGCAACTCCCGTTCTGGACAATCTCTGACACCCTTTCCTGGCTTCCACAAGAATTTGCACTCACATGAACACACACACTGACACATTCACAGGCACACAGTTAAAAAAATAAAATCCTCAAAAAGAGATCAGGGGCTGGAGAGCTGGCTCAGTGGTTAAGAGCACTGGCTTCTCTTCCAAAGAACCAGGTTCAATTCTCAGCATCCACATGGCAGCTCACAACTGTCTCTAACTCCAGTTCCACAAACATACATGCAGGTAAACACCAATGCACATGGAATGAAAAAAACTAAAAAAATAGATCAGCATAGTATACTGGGGACACATTACAACACTCTTCAAAACTTTTATCAAATTTACCATACATAGGTGGGGCATGCCTTTAGTCCAGCATTCGGGAGGCAGAGGCAGATGAGTTTGAGGACTGCCTGGTCTTGAAAGAGAGAGGGAGAGGAGAGGAGAGGAGAGAGAGAGAGAGAGAGAGAGAGAGAGAGAGAGAGAGAGAGACCCCCAAGAAAAGGGGATCCGAAGGTTAGAGTCACCACCCTCTTGGCCAGTCTGGCACAGGCAAGTCTCAGCAGGGCCTATCTCTGCACTGAGAGGATACCTGAGTCTTGGCTGAGAAATGAGGTAAGATACCCCTTACCTCTGCAAAGGGCCAGTCATCTGACCTGACCTGTGCAGAACATCTTTGTCAGAGGGAAGAGATACCAATACACAGACTGGCCAGTGAGGCTGAATACTAGGCCCTGCTCATTGTCACGTATCACCTAGGATGGGCCCAACCATTATGCAGAGACCCCACTTGAGCAAATGAAGGTGAGTGTGGTCAAGAATGCTGTCCAAAGTCACAGGCCTAGTGGGGCAGAGCGGGACTGCGCTCCGGATTCTCTCAGAGAGAGAGAGAGTAGTTCATATGGCCTATGGCTACGGTAGGAAGAAGCACTGGACGCTGAGCCTGCCCCGCCTGCTCAGCCCTTCCACCAGTCCAAGCATATCAGCAAGCAAAAGCCTTCCCACACTGTATTTATAGAAAATTACAGACTCCTAACATGGCTAATTTGCTAACGTGCTGGGGATTTGAGGGAGGGAGACAGGCGTGCTGAGGCCTTTGTTCTCTTGGGCCTTTACTGAATCAGTGGTTAGCAGGGAAATTATACATCCTTGGCTCCCAGCTGATCACCATCTATAGATGGCCATTAACTCTGAGCATGGGGCTGTGCATGCCATTGTCCTTCAGAGCAGATAAACTTGATGCCATTGGGCTAATTAAAACTTTCAGGATAATCTGTGGCTTATCCAGTATTTATAGTACTACACTAGTTATTAGAACTAACAGAGAACCAGTGCACATCGGCAATTAGGGACTAGAGGGGACAACTGGGTAAAGTCACAGCTGGGCCACAGAGGAACACCTAGGGAATTCAGATTGAGCCCTGTGGCTCATCCGACCTGATTTCTGAATGAAAAATGGGGTGACTCTTGAAAGGGACAAAGTGAAAGAATGGCAAGGCAAGCCCCGCCCTTTAGAAAACCCCGGTAGGGAAGTGAAGTCACAAACAGGGTCCACGCCACCTGACACAGGTTAGTAATGCTTTTCTGGGGACCTGGAAGGCAAGGAGCAGAAGCAGCGGGCTGCATGGCAGCAGCAGGCTGTGGGCTTAGTCCTTCCCAAGAGCACTGATGTTGACGACCCTGGTGCTCCAAGAAGGGAAAGGGCAAAGCTTTGGGGACGAATACCTACTCTGAAGGACTCTTCTCGAGAATCAGCTGGTGGGAAAGACTTCCCAAATCCCAGAAAGTGCCTGGATTCTAGATAAGGGCCAGCATCAGTATCACCTTGCCCACCCTCAGAAGAAATCACTTCAAAGCATGTGAACTGCCCATGAGCATGGCTCCACCTAAGGAAAAGAACCCACAGGTACCCTCAGCTCTAGCCTGCAGGTGATGGAGTAGGACAAACCTGAAATCCAGGTCATCTCATCAGGTGGCCACTTGGGAAGTTAAGGGATCCTCAGTTACTGAAGGTGGGTTAGCATCAAGGAAACAGACCTGAGGGCTTCAGAGCAAGCACAGTTCTACCTATTCCCTCCCTGATGAGCTCAGGGGCCCCAGACCTTAGGCCCCACTTTCTAAGAAGCCTACCTGGTTGAGAATCTGCATCTTGCTCAGCTCTGCAGCAAGCCTGGTGTCGGAACTCGGCTGGACCTGCCTGAGGCCACTGCTTGGCTGGCACTGTGCTGGCTGAGAGGCCTCCTGCCCGGCAGAGGCAGAGACCACTTCTGGAGAATGTTCCAGCAGCTCTGGCCCCCAAGCCAGTAAGCCCAAGTCCCTCTCCTGAGCTTTGATGGCCTTGTGATCACCCTCACTAGACATCCTGGAAGACTCGGTGGCCATGCAACAGACCATGCCGGTGACGTCTTTGCACGGCATTTCCTGCATGTTCTCAGGCAGCTCCAGGCCCTCCGGCCGCCTGGAGATCTTGACCATCTGCAGGATGTGCTGGTAGAACCTCTGATCCTCAGAGTAGTCCTCACTCTCTGACTGCTCCTCAGCAGAGCTCTGCACATGGGACAACTGAGGCACCAGGAAAGGGCAGAAACGCACATCTCTAGGCTCTGAGCCCGACTGACCCATGACAGGAACACACCCCTGGGGACTCTGCAGGTCCCAGGGGAAGTTGTTTACCTCACCTAGGACCTGTGAGCCAAGAGGCGAGGCCGGGCTGCTGCCCCCTCTACTACTGCTGTTCGAGTCAGTCCCTGGCACAGTAGGCTTCCTGTCTTCGTTGGGAAACTCTGGAGACACAGACGGATGGTGCCTCCCTTTACTGGCAGGGTCCCCTGGAGGGGGCTCGGAAACTGCTTCTGATGCCAATGTATCGGGCGGCATCAGGGAGGGACCCTGTGGTGAATCTTCAGCTGAGGCCTCTGGAACCTTGGAAGTAGCAGGCTCCATTTCCTTGCAGCTCTCTGTGGTGTCCTTGTTGACGAGCTTAGAGACCTGCCCCATCCATAGTTCTGGAGGCTCTCTCCTCCACCTCCCCCTGCCCAGGTCCCCACCTTCCCTAGGAACTCCATGCCAGCTCAAGTCCTCTGCTGGGCTGTTCTCTAGTAAAAACAGCTTGCCCTTCCTGGCGGGCAGCGTGTGGTCAGATGAGCAAAGGGACAGGGAGGGCTCCTCCTCAGAGGATCGCAAGGGAATGGGGCTCTGACCTTTGTCCCCTCCAGGGCCAGTGCAGCTCAGAGTGGCTATGCTGTGACTGTGATGCTCCCCTTTCAGCTGCAGGCCTTTGGAGGTTTCGGAAAGCTTAGAGTGGACAGGAGTCTGGACTCTGTATTCTAACACCTCCTGCCCATTCTGGAGTGGTTCGGTGGTATGAGCACCCCCGGGACCAGGTTTCTGCTGCCTGATCCTCAAGTCCAGCTTTTCTATTTCAGGGTCTGAAAATCCCAGGTAGAACTTCTCTGTTGCTTTCTGGGCTGACTCCAGACTCTGAGGGTCTCCTAAGTCTGTCTTGCATTGGACCGGAGGCCTGCCTAAGATTTTCTCCACATCAGCAAAGATCTGGTGGGTCCGAGGAGCTTGGCCTTTGGAGAGTGGCTGCAGCTTGCCAGGAAGGGCACCCACGGGAGGCCACGGAGTGTCACCCACCATGCACACGCTCCTCCCTTTCTTAAAGGAGGCCTCACTTCTAGCCTGCACCTCTTGGTCTAGGTCCAGATCAGCAAGCCCAGGTGCTGGGAGAGGGGACAGGCCTCGGAGAAAGGAGGAAGAAGGCGGAAATCCCTGCTCAGGCTGTGTTTCCTAGATGGGTATATAAACATGCAAAGAAAACAAGAACTGACCTTCTCATAGATTCTTGCTACCTCAGCCCAAGACCCAGAGCAGAAAACCACCCTCTTTAAGATAAAGCAGAAATAAGACAGAAAAGAAAGGCCTAAACTCTCTTACGTTAAATATATGCCCCTTTCTAGGTTCTAGCTCCCCCTATAGAGAGGAAAAACAACAACAACCATATTAATAGCCTATAAAGTTTGCTCTATAGAGCCCTAGGAACTCCATTCCCAGGATGCTACCATAGTGTGAAGGCTACAATATGAGTGACAGGGAAGAGAACCATGGCCCCTGAGAAACCAGAGTAGCTATTTGTTTTGAAGCTGGTCTCTACAGAGCAGCGCTTTACTCCACTAGTCAAAACCATGTGATTGGTCCTTAAGTGTCCTCTAGCCCTCAGGTTCATGATTGGTTAAATTCTATAAAGCCTATCAAGGACTCCCAGAAATGTCCCAAGAGGAAGAGAAGAGAGGAAGCCTGGGAAACTCAGTCCAGTGCCTTCTACCACCAGCACAGATTGGCACTGCATAAAAGACACGCAGTCTCAGAATCTTGGGGCTACCAGAAAGTCTTAAGATAATCAACTACCCTCTGCAAATACACTAACCAGCCAGCTGGGAGCACACGTTTCCAGAGGGGCCAGACCACTGGACAAACTCAAGCTTGAGGTGCCTGGCCTGAGCCCTAAGAATTCCACTGAAGGATCCTCTCCTGAAACACAGAGGGGTCCTTTCTAACAAGGAGCTTCTGGGACTCAGACGTACATCCAGAGCCAAGTCTGTCATTCAACTCCACCTTAAGCCAGGCTGGAGCCTGTCAGATGCCAAAATATCATTTCAGGTTATTCTGCTTTTCAAATACATAATAATATTAGAAAATTCCAAGGTTCTATTTGGAAAGCACCTGTCTTCATTATTCTGTAGGAACAAGCTCCTCACCCTCTTTCTCAGAACTGTGCATAAAGCTGGGAGGAGGCAAGGGGATTCAGAGCAGAACCTGAACACGATAAAGGACCGAATGACGTAACAACTGTCAAGGCCAGAACTGACACTTTAGGAAAGAAGAAAACAGGGCTGGAGATGCAGCTCACTGGGAGAACACCTGCCCAGCATGTGTGTGGCCCTAGGAAGCCTCCACACGGGGGTGGGGGGAGGGGTGGAGCACCAGGTGGGTCACAAAATCAAAAGGACAGAACAACTGGACCACTGACAGTTGAGTCTTCCCAATGCTCCCCACCAAACTCCCCTCAATGCTCCCCTCAGTGCTCCTCACAGGGTTGAACCAAGCTGCTTCCTCAGGCTGCCAGCCCCATACCTGCATGAAGGGGACAAAGTCTGTTCTGAACCACAGGCTCTCACTCAGCTCTTCCTGAAGCAAGGGTGATAACTTCCACCTCCTACGTCCCATGCTGAGCCACAAATGAACACTGGACAGAGTCCTCTGAACGCAGCACAAAAGCTACTGGAGACCACACTGAGTACGATGCGGTTTAACTGCTGCTACCCTCCACAAGCCAAGGTCACTGGCCACAAAGACCACTGATGGCGTCAGTAAAGCTGATGGCACATGTGTATCAATTACAGGCTGACCTCAAAATCATGACCCTCCAGCCTCCACCTTCCAAGTACTAGTACTACAGGCATGTGCCATCACGCTCGACTTTTCTTTTAAAACCTGAAGGCACTGACAACAATGCCACTGTTCCTACCTCCCTGTTCCCAGGTGGGAAACAGCGCCACTTCATCAAATGCAAACACGGTCCTTGCTCTCCCGCGCTCACACTGTCACTAACCCTGTTGTGTAACATGTGCTCCCCAAGGAGAGAGAAGAAATTACTTAAAGAAGTAACAACTGCTAGAAGCTGAAAGAAAAAAATCCACCAGGTAAAATTAGACAATGTCCTGTCAAGAATTCACTATTGTTTTAGCTCCTGGAGGATCCCCACACCCCTTGGGCTACAGCCCTGCATAGAAGCTGGCCTCAAGGCTGACTCACCAGAGGACTTTTGGAGGTCTCTTTGTCCTTCTTGTTTTTCTTTTCCTTTTTCTTTCTCTTGTCTTTCTTCTTAACGGCCCCGGGAGCCAACCACTTCTCCCGCTCTTGGATTACCAGCTTCCGATAATGCTCATCACATGGATGGTCCCAAATGGACTGCCCAGTGTCAAAGTTGAAATAGTAAAGGTCACCTGTGATGTTCTGGCTAGGAGTGAGCAGAATTCAGAGGTTAGTCCCTTCTAAGGTTCAGCTAAAATATAATTCTTAAAAAAAGAACAAACACTGTAATATATAAAATCACTTATAGCAATGGATAGTTATTTCTTTTCTTTCCTTTTTTTTTTTTTTTTTTTTTTTTTTGGTTTTTTCGAGACAGGGTTTCTCTATGGCTTTGGAGGCTGTCCTGGAACTAGCTCTTGTAGACCAAGCTGGCCTCAAACTCACAGAGATCTGCCTGCCTCTGCCTCCTGAGCAAAGAACTAGCCTGAATATTCTATATCTCATGGGGGCAAGGATGAGAAAGGGTCTTATTAAGGAGTCCTAGCTGGACTAGAACTACCTATGTAGATTGGCCTGGGCTGGCCTTGAATTTACAGCAATCCTCCTGCCTTTGCTTTGGCTTTTGTGTACTTATCCAACACACAGCTTTCTCTTTTCAGAACTGGATTTGAAGTTAAAACTTTTCCCACAAAGAAAATTCTAGGCCCAGATGATTGCAATGGTAAATTCTATCAAATATTTAAAGCAGAAATGACAGCAGTGTTCACAAACCTGAAGAGGAAGAAATTCTCATTCTATGAGGACAGTAACATAGCACAAACAAGATAAAGACATTAGGAGGAAATGATACTATAGATCAGCTTCCCCCATGGACACAGATGCAATAACACTTCATGCAATTTTAGAAGATCAAATCGCATAAAATATAAAGAGGATCATACATCATGACCAAGTGGAGTTACCCCAGGAATGTGAAATTTGGCTTAACGTTTGAAAACAGGGGTCAGCTGGTGAAGGTGCTTATGGCCAAGTCTGAGGACCTGAGTTCCCTTCCAGGATCCCACATGGTGGAAGGATAGGATCAACTCCCACAAGCTGTTCTCTGACATCCATACTTATAAGTGCTGTGACATGCCCACGCCCCTACACACAAAAAGTAAATAAATAAATGCAATTAAAAATAATTGATAAAAATATTTGAAAATCAATCAATAAATTTGGCTATAAGAAAAGATTAAAGAGAAAACTACCTAATCTTATCAATAGATGTAGAAAAGCACTGGGTAAAATCCATCCACCTTTCTTCAAAGTCCCAGCAACAGCACAAACTCTCCTGACAAAGGTCATCCACAGGAAGCCCACAGCTAGCAACTACCTAATGATGAACAACCAAAAGTTTTCACCCTAAGATCAGGAACAAAGCAAAGACATCCTCCATCACTGCCTCTACTTAGTGATGCTAAAGGCTCTGGTCACCGAGGTACACACCAGAAAGGAAAGGCAATGAGATTAGAAAGGAGGAGGCAAAAATACCTTTATTCCTAGGAGACACAGTCACTTCTGTAGAAAATCCTATGGAATCTTAAAAAAAATAAATAGAGCTACTAGGCCTGACATAATTGATTTTAGCAAGGTTGTACAGTGCAAGATCAATATACAGAAACCAATTTTACTTCTCTATAAAAGCAGCCAACAATTGGAAACTAAAAATACAGCACTTACAGAAGCATCAAATATGAGCTACTTAGGGATAAATCTGATAAAGAGAGGCAATACATGTACACAAAATCCATTAAACATTTCTTAGAGATATTAAAGGAAACCTAAATAAATGGTAACAGACAATGTTCATGGGCTGGAAGGTTCAATATCATTTAAGATGCCTATTCTCCCCAAATTGATTTATGTGCAGTCCCAATCAAAACAGTAAAGTGACGGGATAATGTTCAAATTTACATGGCAATGCAAAGAACTGAGAGACTTTGAATAGGGACAAGGGGTTGGAGAGGTGGCTCGGCATTAAGAGCCCTGGTGCTCTTGCAAGGGACCCAGGTTCAATTCCCAGCATCCACACAGTGACTCACAGCCACCTGTAACTCTAGTTACAAGGGATCCAAATCCCTCTTCTGGCTTCTCAGATACCAAGCATGCATGCGGTACACAGACATATATGCATGCAAAATACCCACAGACATTAAAATAATAACACTAAAAAGAAAATGGAAACAAGGTTGGAATACCTACCCTAAAAGATTTCAAGACTTGTTATAAAGCCGTGTGATCAAGAGGGAACAGAACAAAACATGATGAGTGCCTCAACGGCAGACGGCAGGGAATACAGAAACTCACAAAACATGAGTACCTCAACGGCGGACGGCAGGGAATACAGAAACTCATTTTTTCCCAGTGTCGATGGGTGTTCTGTCTGTATGGTTTTCTGTGCATCACATTTGTGACTGGTGCCCTTGGGGACTAGAGTTAAAGACTGTTGTGAGTCACCATGTAGGTGCTGGGAATTAAACCTGAGTCTTCGGAAAAGAGTAGCCAGTGCAATTAACCACCTTGACACATCTCCAGCCCCAGAAACAGACTCTTTTATGCATGGTTCGTCTCGAAAACATCTAAAGGCTCTTCAGTATGAGTTAAGTTTTTGGGTTTTTGTCTTTCTGTGTTTTTTAGAATGCGGCACACATGAAGTGGGGACACAGTCCAGGTACAGAGTGCTCTGGTAGCATGTACGATGTCCTGTGTCCCAGACATTAGCACATACACACATAAGATGTGTCGTGTCTAGTATGGGGACGTATACACCTGAAGAAGACAAGAAGGTGAGTAGTGTAATGATTAGTTAGTAAACATCAACCTACCACAACCTAGAATCACCCAGGAATAGTCTCAACTGGGGAATTTCCTATATCTGGTTGGGCCATGGGCACGTCTGTGGGGGGCTGTCTTGTTAACGGACCCAGCCCATTGAGTATCAGTCCCTGATTTGGGGCTTTAGGTTGTATAAGAGTAGAGAAGAATAGAACATGGTAAGGCATGCCTTTAATCCCAGCACTCCAGAGACAGAGGCTGGGAGTTCACAGGCAGTCTGGTGTGCACAGTGAGTTCTAGACCAGCCAGGATTACACATTGAGACCCTGTCTCAAAGCAAACAACAGCAGAGAAAATGGCTGGTTAGTGAGCCATACAGGCCATGTCTCTCTGTGCTTGATCACAGATATGAGGTGACCAGTTGCCTCAAGGTCTTGCCCCTGACCTTCTCAACACGATGGACTGTGAGCTAGAACTATGAACTAAAGTACACCCTCCCTCCCTAAGTTGCTTTTGGCTAAGGTGTTTTATCACAACAACAAAATGAAAACTGTAACACTCAGGTAAACCAAGTGTGGTGGCCCATGCCTGTCATCCCAACATTCAGGAGGCTGAGGAAGGAGGGTTACAGGTTCACAGCCAGCTTAGGCTACACAGTAAAACCTTGTCTTAAAAAGCCACCAGCATAGTGGTGCACACCTCTAATCCCAGCACATGCAAGAGAATCAGGAGTTCTGGGTCATCCTCAGCTACCGCATAAGGTACAGGCGAACCTGAGACCCACAAGTCCTTACCTCAGAGGGAAAAAATGAGACAAGGTGGTACACACCTGTAATCCAAGCACTCAGAGGACGGAGGCAGAAGGAGCACAAGTTTAAGACCATCCTAGGCGACATAACAAAATTGTCTCAAGAGAAAAATGAGATAGACCTACATATTATACTGACAGAACAACAGTGTATACAATGTAACAGTTATGATTAAAACAATAAAACCACAAGTGGAATGTGTGTATGTGTGCTAAAAGTTCTAGAAGGAATTATCAATTGATAGTAATTAGGCTTGGGAAAGAGAATGGGGTAAAAGATGACTTGTACAAATAACTTTTAATGACTTACGTTATTTTAGAAAATGAAAAATAGTTCTTGTTTTCCCTGTAGGACAAGAGAGTGTCAACCACACTAGCAGGTACATGAAGGCAACTGGCCCTAAACCAGACAGTCCCCCACCCCCACCCTCCATCAGAAAGGGCACTGGGACAGAACAGAAAGGGCTAGCTTTCCAACACAAGCCCGAGTTCTCAGCACAGAAATACTGTCGGAAGCACTAACAGATTTCCCAGAAGATGTGAACCTGGAGATGGTCCAAGGAGAGGCTGCTAAAAGACCAACAGAACAAGGAGCCTGTCGAGTGAGGAAACTGAGAAGAGTCTGCGCCTTCAGCTGAGGAGAGTAAGGTGGGTAAGCGCAGCCATTCTGAAGTCCAGTCAACCCGTGAAACAGCTTGGGTAAGAACGGACCAGTTACCTAGCCCACCAAATGCACCTTCCTTCCCAGCTGAGAGAAGACACCTAGGATGCCTCAGGACCAGTTTAGAATAAAGTGGAAACCCTACCCTGGGTGAGATGTGGACTTAGTTTGCAGCTCTGCACATGTGCTGAGAGAGGCAGTGAAGAGAGGGCGGAGCAGACACGCAGCACCGAACAGTGTCACTGTGGGTGGGGATGCTGCTGCCCATGGGAGATGTGGGCTGGAGGCTCTGGCCCTGGCTTTTTCAGCTTCAGCTCCTGGGGCACTGTCTTCTTCCTGTAAACCTCTGCTTCTCAGAGATAACCTGAATGAGTTCTTTCATAATCCACAGTTTAAAGGAATTTAACAGAGCCCATGGACATGAAGCCTAGAAGAGGTGATACGAAAGATGGCTCAGTGGTGCAGTGGCTTGAAAGAAAAGGGCCCACATAGGCTCACAGGCAGTGGCACTATTAGGAGGTGTGGCCTTGCTGGAGTAGGTGTGGCATTATTGGAGGAGGTGTGTCACTGGGGGCAGGATTTGAGATCTCAGATGCTCAAGCCACACCCCGTGTGGCAGTCTCTTCCTGTGTCTACATCGGCAGATTCAAATGTAGAACTCTCAGCTCCTCCTCCAGAACCATGTCTGCCTGCACACCACCATGCTTCCCACCCTGATGATAATGGACTAAACCTCTGGAACTGTAAGCCACCCCAATTAAACATTTCCCTTGTAAGAGTTGCCATGGTCATGGTGTCTCTTCACAGCAATAGAAACTAAGTCAGAAGTTGGTCCCAGGGACTGGGGTATTGCTGTGATAGGCCTGGTCATGCTGTTGTTTGAAGGAATGTGAACTTTCGGACTTTGGATTAGAAAAGC